TCTGCAACACCCCCGCCCACGTTTTCAAATGCGTTTGGAACGCCCCCCTGCCCCGTGCTAGCTGGTGCGCAACAGCCGCATGCGCCGCGCAGGTCTTGAAGCTGCTTGGGACTGGTGGTAGGGCGTGAAATTGACAAATCGGAAGCACAGCGAATGTTAATTGGTACTCGCACGTTGTTTCGTAATTTACGTGTTCCCAAGCTGTCCTACGGGGCGCGGGGAACAGGTTGCATGGCCAACTGCATTTTCTTCGATGGAACCTCTGGATCTCTACTGGGCACAGGGTGCCGCGGAAAGTGTGACGCCAGGCTGTGGCAGATCTGCGGTGGGGAGGGAGGGGGGGGGGGGCGCTTTCTGGGCTGCCCCCATCGCCCCAACGCCGCGCCCCCGCAAATTCCCAAACAAACTGCGTCCCCGTGGATTCCCGAGACCGTAGAAATAGCTGGCAAGTGCAGCGGCCATTATCTCTTGCCCCAATCACCCCGACGCTGTACCCTGTCGAATTACTGACGAAGCTGCACCCCGTGGAATCCTCGCGCAAGCTTAGCCCCCGGGACCCGTGACTCCCCCAACAAGTTGTACCCCCTGAGCCCCCTGTGCAGTCTACAATGGTCCATCGCCCCCGCGGCGTAGGGAAGGGCAATCCCCCCCGCCCTTCTGCTCGCTGACCCCTGCTTGTTAGCTGTTTTCAGCGCACGCCCCCGAATGCTCAAAAGTTCCCGGGGCCGACAAGGATAACAAATGTGAGACCCGTCCACGGGCCAGTCTGCGAAGAGGCCGTCGAGGGCGGCCTCTTCGCAAGCACGCGACGCCGCGCTCACAGACGCGCGCCTCTCACGCGCCCTGAAGCACGCGACGCGCCCGTGCAACGAGCGCAGCGGGCATTGGACGACAGCGCCATCTCTGCCGCCGCAGGCGGCTCGTGTCTCCACGAGCAGACGCGCGGGATCTGCGCGCCAACTGCTGCAAGCAAGAACGCCGCGCATATGCTTCAGGTGGAGGGCGCGCAAGAAACGCTCAAGCAGATCTGCGCCTCTGCCTTGGACCATGGCGGACCCGGTGCCTGCCAACATGGCCTTGCACGCGTCGCTGGTGCACTCCCGGGAGCGAAAGTACCCGACGGGTGAAGATGGCACATCCCTCTCGCGTCCGAATTCACCATCTGGCCGCGCATGCCCCTGGCGCCCTGGAACTGAACGAACGCAACAGTCACGTTGCCGTCATCGCCAAATCTTGCCACCACCGATACTAGATTAGTGAACGGGTTGCAGCGCTCGAAGCACTACTGGGACAATGAGAGCTGGCCCTTCCATAGCCTGCGCAACTCCAGCAACAGCGCCGCTAACAATGGCCCGAATGCTGTCGCGTCTGGCTCGTCGGCAGGGCCATCGCCATTTTCGCCGGGATCGACTGCGATACGATCCAAGACGACATTTACTGGTTAGTCGCCATGGCTGTCGTCGCTGTCGGCATCGCCGCCGTCGACCTCCAACGCGCGGGGCCTGCCCGGAGCGGCAGCTGCGCATTTCCGCGCGCGGGGCCCCGGCGGTGCCCGGGCGACGACCTCCTCCGAGACGACGTCGGAATATCCGATTCCTGAATCGGGGTTGGACGACCGACTTCCACGGTCGATCGTTCAGCCTCGAGTAGCGGGATAAAACGCCCCCGCCCACTGACTGTCTCGATCGGGCCGTTGAGTTGAAGCCCTAGCTCGTCCCCCTCGTCAGTCGCCGTGGCGAACACCTGCGCGCTGCGCGGTGAAATTGTCGGCGCGTACACGATGCTGCCCGCGGCGATGCAGGTGGATAACCCCTCAGGGGAGTTGCGCCGCCCGCCCGAGTTGGCGCGCCATGCCCGACGCGCCCTGTCCCTGAGATGCTCGCGCACATCAAATGGCGCCCTCTCAGGCACGGGCGCGGCAGCGGCCTCTATCGGCGGCGGCGGCGCGAACCTGCCTCTCTGACTCAACGCTGCGTCGATGGGCTCGAAGCGCTCCACTGCCTCATCTCGGAGGCGCCCGATCGAGGCGCGCACGTCGCCCCAGTTCAGTCCCCGCCTCGCGACCCGAAGGCCGAGCCCGCATCTCTTCCAAGCGTTGACTTTACTGCAGAGCAATAGTGCGTGCATTTTCGGAAGAGGGGCGGAGTCAGTTGCACAGGGCGAGGTCATGCCCTCGGAGTCTGGCTTCGTCGGTTTTCCCATGTTGAACGCGGCGTGGTGCACTTTCATGGTCTGGCCCATGTCGCCGTCAACCGCAGCTCGTTAAAGCTCGTCGCGGAATCGAGCGCGGAGCCTGAAGACATCGGAGCCGACCCCGATGCGGCTCGAGTCTGAATCAGGCCGGGACGCCAACGCGTCAAGAGCGACGCCTCCCCCTTACTCCCTCGGGACGTCGCGGTCGCCACCCCCGAGGGCCAGCAGTCGCAGCGCGTGGCATCTGCACCTGCTGGAGATGAAGTTCTGAAAGTCCGCGGCAGCGCAGGCTGCAAACCACCTCGCCCCCATCAAAACATTGGCCCGAATGCCTGCGGGCACGACGCTTGGTCACGCGCCCCCTCCCCCCCCCCCCCCCCAAGCACACAGTCGAACGGCAAGCTCGGATAACTTGTTGGAATAAAACTTTCCTTTTGCCCGCCGCGAGCGCCGCGGGGCGCCCAGGCCCCCTTGCTTTTACTCTAGCATCGCGGCTTTGAAGGAAAGGGTTGAACTCGTCAACGACCATGCCCACACGGTGCGAAACACTCAGAACCAGCCAACACATGGGGCACTTGAGGCCAGCAGTGGCACCCGACCACCACAGGGGCAGTTTCTCTTTGTGCTCGTCGCGGTCCTCCCTGCTGATCTCGTGGATTGACATCGTGGATTCGATGGCTTTATCCACGCCGATCACTTTGTTGCATTGGTTGGCGAGCTTGCGCGCCCCTGAACTCGACGCAGCCCCGAACGCATCGACGACGGTTTCACTCGGCATGGTACAAAGAACATATTCGCACGTACAGTAATAACCCCACCTGTTGGCGATGCAACACGGCGGCCTGCGAGATGCGAACGTCTGCGCTTTGGGGGGGGGGGGGGGGGGGCGTGAGAACCAAAAAGCAGTGCAGTGGCCTGGCATGCTCCCTCCACGCATTGGAGATCTTCGCGACGGCCGCAGGGTAGTTCAATATAGCCGACTCACACAGCCGGAGTAGTTCCGAACTCCGCTGCAACATAGCACCCTTCATCAGCTGGCGCTGGTGGCGCATGCAACCGCAGTTGAAGAAGTCGGCCCCTGGCGCTTGAGGGTGGGTGCGTGAAACATTCTCCGTTGTGGGTGCGTGAAACCTTCTGCTGGACGCGGTCAACGTTGCGCCAACCTTGACCTCGCATGTTGCCACCGTGCCCAGACCGACGTCCAATCCCATCGCGGGGACGCACGGCGCGGCTGAGACCAGCGACGTGATTCTACCTAGAGCAATGATCATCCCAGATCTGCGCGGCAATCGTTGGCAAGATGTCATCTCAAAGATTTGTGGTTATAGAGTCTCAACCTAGGAGCCAGCAATCCGCAATGCAATTTGAATGCCTTTCTCTCTACATGCAATTGACGTTGCAATGCGTTCGCTCTCGACACGGTTTCTGACAATCCGTTGCGTGCCGATCCCGGCGCCGTACGGTACGCCGGCTGCAGCAGCGCTACCAGGACTGAACACTGCACACGCACCGTCTACGTGTCGGGGTCGCAGTGTTCCCCAGCCGTCTTCCCAGCGTGTTAGAAGACAACATCGAATTATAAACCTTTCGACACTGGCAGATACTATATATATGTATGTATATATATATATATGTATACCCAAACTTTGTGAAGATCTCTCTGTGCACAAGGACCCACCTGCAATGTGATCGAATGACCATATAGCATCTGGCAAGCTTCGCTCTGGGATGACTGCGCAGCCTCTGGGCTCTTCAACGAACAGGGCGTAAACGAAACGCCGTGTCCATATCAATGGAGGGTCCATGTCGCGCCAAAGCGGCTGAGGAAGGGGCGTGCCGTATCTAAGCCCTCACCTCCCGACTGCCCCCCCCGCCCCCTGTGCGTGTGAATATTCCCGTTTGACTCGGTTATTCGACTGCTTCGTATGACTGGCCAACCCCCGAAGCAACGCGATGTCTAACGACGTGCCCTGAAATTCACTGGCGGCTCCACTGCAAGAGGCCAAGACAATGAGCCCTCTTGTAAGCATCCTGTGTGTTTTGTTGGGCGGCCCGCAAAAAAAAAAGGATCGTTATTTTGCGCTGTATGCCCCCTGGGCGGCGCGGCCCCCCGTTTCAAATTCATGCATGCTGACCGCCCTGAGCCACCAAGTTGCGACCCCTACTGGGACTCCCTATGGGGCCACGAAGCGCTGTTCTGGGTGCGGCGGGCGCACGTGGACACCCCCACTGGGGCCTTCGCTGGAGCTTCCCATGGGGCCACGAACCGCTGTAATGGGTGTGGCGGGCGCGTGCGGGTACCCGCACTGGGGCCTTCCCTGGAGCTCCCCATGGGGCCACGAAGCGATGCACTGGGTGTGGCGGACGCATGCGGGCACCCCCACTGGGGCCTTCGCTGGAGCCCCCTCTGGGGCCACGAAGCGATGCACTGGGTGTGGCGGACGCATGCGGGCACCCCCACTGGGGCCTTCGGTGGAGCTCCCTCTGGGGCCACGAAGCGTTGTACTGGGTGTGGCGGGCGCGTGCGGGCACCGCCACTGGGGCATTCGGTTGAGCTCCCTCTGGGGTCACGAAACGTGTGAAGGGTGTGCTGAAACGGGCGGTGACGATGATGACGGAGAGAGGAGCAGGTAGGAGCGGAACGTGAGGCGGAGGAAGAGGCGTGAAAACGCGGGGTGCTGTCTCGTCAGCGCGAGTACCCAACACCACTGGGTGGTTGGGGAAAAGAGGGAACGCAGGACCGATAGAGAGAGGGAGAAGGCGCGAGAGAAAGAGAGAGAGAGAGAGAGAGAGCAAGAAGGAGACGCCTCTGCAGCTGCGACCTTCGTGTCAAGGACGCACCCGATGACCCTGTCACTATGCAGCCCGCGGTGTTTCCATCCTCCTTCCTCCTTTTGCGTCCTCTCGTCTGCTCTCCCGTTCTGACCATGGCAACTCCAAATCACCCAAGCACCTCGCACCCCCTGTCCTGACCCATGGTGAGGGCGCACACCTACGCTGAGCAACACTAAACAAAAGCAGGGACACCAAACGGGTAAATCTGTCTAAATCTTAATTGGCCCTGTCTCTCCGAGGGAGCTGCATTCACGTCCACAACGCGGATCGCCTGATAACGCCAACTGCTAGAAAACAATACATTCAAAGGACCGCCCATGATACTGCCGAGGCGTCCGAGCAATCGACATGCTTGCATGTGCTTGCGGACTCCGCCGTTTCAACTTCCAGTTAGAGAACCAGAAGGCTTGGTGAAAAGCACGGAGGTTCAAAACTCACGGGCCAGCTAAAACAAGAAACTGTGGCATATTGAACACCTATCAACACCGTCGCCCCTGGGTGTGTTAGGGGCACGCGCCCACATTTTGGCATGCATGCGGCTACCTGTCATAACTCGTTATCCTTGTTAGGTAGGCGACAGGGTTGAATCGACCCACCCCGCTCCACTGCGAATCGCAGAATCGACAAGAACAGCAGAACACGTCTCCAACATCAATTAGAGCAACTTGGCAGAGCCACCTGTATGGAATATCCAACAATTGAGGGATTGAGATTTCGACCTATGTTTTGATGCAGTGGATCTCGTTGACGGGATGTTGCAAGATCAAGTCCTGAATCCAAAGCTGCTGGAATCTTTTTTCAGCATGGACGGCAACACGCGCATCCGAATAAACTCAGAGTGGCCTGGCACCCGAAAGACCATACACTGCATTGGACCAGTCAGTTGTACAGTCCACCACGGATGAGCAGTTGGCTCGGCGAACAATTCGAACATAATGAATGAGCCTTGAGCCTTGAGCTCAGAATGCATAATGAACAATCGGTTTCGGGCGCAAATCGTTGCCACACATGTGTCAACATACCAAGAATCCTAAGTCGATCCAATACGTCATGCCCTTGCTGTTCAATGACCTCGGACGTAGGGTTCCCATAAATGTCTGCCCAATGTTGGTTCAGTAAAGCTACTTAATGCCCCAAGTCCCAGAGGGCCCGAACATCTAATCATTGAAACAGGCCCGACAAGGCTTCAGAGATGCCCCAAGATAGCCAAAGAACCTCCCAAGACGGCCGAATGCCTAAAGAGGGCTCCGAGAGGCCCCCCGCACCCTCCTCAAGATGTCGCTGCTTCGAGAGCGCTTGGTGGAACGATACCACCCAAGACGGCTCTAAGACGCCCTGCATGTGACGAAGATGGCCCCCAAAAGCCTCCGCGAAGCCTTCGAGATGACCATGAACATGGAACTCCAAAAGCCTTCGACACCGAAGCCTTCGAGATGACCACGAAGCCCTCGAGATGGCCCAAAAACCTCCACGAAGCCCAAAGGCCCTACAGAACAATGTCATGGCCACGCCACCCATCGTATCACGCTGTGCCAGGAGGCCACAAGAAGGTTGTCCCGAACCTGGTCGGCAGAGCTCCGCAGGAGAATCCTGCATAGAATGCAGCATCAACAGCAATCGCAACGACGGGAGTATCACGGCAGCAGTAGCAGAAGCACGACCTTGAACATCAGCGGTAGCAGAAGCAGTGGCTGATGCTGCGCAAGAGTTGCACGAAAAGGAATCACAAAACACCTGCTGTGACTGCGCCCCTCCCAACCCGTGCATGCCGCGCCTCTGTAGCAGAGACACCAGCGCGGCTCCAGATTTGGGTGTGGCATCAAGCCTGCGGACGGGATGGGGCATATGGAATGAAGCAGAGGAGGGTGCCAAGTAGCAGAAGCGAGCCCCACTGCCGCAACCCCGCAAAACCGTCGAAGAAAAGCTACCCGGAAAGACTACTCGAGCTGTGCTGGCCAAGATCCAGCGATTCTATGGATGGAGAAGGAGGCCCCGCCACAGCAAGTAACGTATCATATGTTCACATGTTGGTGGCTTAAATACAGTGCTACCTAGCAGCCAACACGAGAGAGTAAGCCTTACAAGGGCGCCGACCAGGGCTTGCAGTTTCTGCACGCGAGACTAGGCGGGCCGTACACCACGTAATCAGAAATCGCGGTCGTGCAAAATGAACGATCACTACCGCCGAGCTGAACGAGCATGCGACGAGCAAAACCGATGCGAAGGCCATGCTTGAGATTCTGATCAGCCTAATGTCCCGGCCGTCTTTGGTCAGTACTCAACACCTATCTGGCAACACCGATGGCTGAAACATACCCTGAACAATTCGCCCTGAACCCTGTGGAACCCTAGGGCAACCTGAAAAGTCAGAGTCAGGGGGCCGAAGGGTCATGCACTGATCACTGTCCCTGGGCTCGTGGCTGAAGTGAGGTTCTGCGGTGCGGATTGTTGTTGCTGTTATTGATGGTTGTTTAGCGTCGTCGTCCCCGGCGCGACCTGGCCCGCGACCAACCCGCGACCCACCCGCGACCCGGCCCGCGACCCGGCCCGCGACCCGGCCCGCGAGCCACCGTCGACCCACCCGCGACCCAATCCGCGACCCGACTGCGATTCACCCGCGACCCACCCGCGACCCACGCGCGACCCACCCGCGACTCACCAACGACCCGGCCCGTGACCCGCCCGCGACCAACCCACGACCCACCCATTACCCACCCGCGACCCACCCCGCGACCCACCCAAATTTCTGGTCCTGCTGCGGGCTCGTTGCATACTTTGTTTATAGAATTAGACCCCCCGCCGTCTCCCGACTCTTACCCGCAACACGGGGTCATGTTTTATCTTTGTTACCTCCGCATGTCGCCCTTCCAACTCCTCCTCCTCCTTAGCCCGCACCCAACCCGAACCTCCCAAACACGAACACTGTTTTCAATCAATCGCGATGACGTCCATTACCGGCCCCGCCCCCCCATCCCTTCCCCCTCCGGTCACGTCACAATTTGCACCGGCGCCTTCTGGGAAGTAGCCATTCCTCGGCATTCCAGGACGTCGCTGGCGCGAATCGTGACGTGACGGTCCACTCCCCCCCACCCCCTGGTCAAGCCTATTATCGCCAAGGGATGTGGGCTCCACTCCCAAGTGTGCAGACACACTTTGGCTCTACTGTACTGCAGCGTCTCGACATTAGCGCCCCACTCGCTGCGACGGCTCAGGAAGAAGGTAGGAAAGCCGCAGAGGAGCAGGGGATGAGGGGAGGAAGGGTGAGCCAAGAGCCATCAGAACTCATCGTGGGAAGAATTCGCGGGATAACCGCGACGCGGGACAGCCGTGACGACAAATTGCATGAGAGACCTGTGGGACCTGCAGGATATGAGGGACCATCGAGGCCTGCTAGACCATTTGAGCTGTGAGACATTTGGGACCTGTGGGACATGCGGGACCTGCAAGACCTATGGGACCTGCTGGACCTGCAGGACTTACGAAACCCGCGGGCCCTCCGGGGCCTGTAGGGCTTCTGGGACTTGTGGGACCTCAGGGACCAACGAGCCCTGTGGAAGCTAAGAGACCTGTGGGATCTCGACTTGTGGGACCTGCGGGACCAAAGAGACCTGCGAGACCTGTGGGATCTGCAAGATTTGCGGGAAATGCGGGACCTTTGGGGCATGTTGGGACCTGTGGGACCTTCTCGGCCCGATTGTATTGGAACGCTAGTGGCACCCTGTTGAGATCCAGTTGGATCCCATTGGAATCCTTCTGTGTTGGAGTCCGATTGGAATGGTATTGCGTTCTTACTGGGATTCTACGAATTGGGCATAGATTGTGTTGGAATCCGATTGGCATTACATATAGGACACGTTTGGAATCATGCTGAATTGGAATCCGATTGGAATATCATTGGGATCCAATTGGAATCATGGGTTCAAACCATTTTGGGATGACATTGGATTGGGGTACTCTTGGGATAACAATAGGATCCTGTCGGAATCCTATTGTATTAAAATCAAACGGTGTATATTATGTCGATCGTCTTAAAATCACATTGTACTCGGAACGGGCCACGGCGCCATCTCGAGAACCGAAAACGGACAATTCACCAATCGACGTGTCACTGTTGGGGGTTCTGTCCACCCCCGACTTTCTGCCTTCAGTGAACAACGCCCGCGGCGGCCCGGACAGCGAGTCCTGTAAAGAACGAGCAAGAGCTGCTGTTGGCCATCATACCCATCCGTCCCGTACAGTCGGAGCCTTGACCTAAGAAACCCCAAATAAGGAACGAGGCCCCTTTTCCCTTTTTCCCATAAGTAAACTTCGATTTCCGATCCCGATCGAAACCATAAGGAAAGCCTGAGGCAAGCTGCGAAACACTTAAGGAACGCGGAGCCCCTCCCCAACGAAAAGGGTTCCTTCTTCAGCGCCCCGACTGCACCCATTCCCCCGGAGGCCGAGGCCAGCGCCGCCCCCTGTGATCCTTTTCGCCCGCAGCGAGGTCTGCGGCGGGCTCTCCGCGCCCATAGGAGAGGCCCCGACGACAGGGCCGTGCCGCGACGACTTCGGCGCTGGCGTCGGACACGGCGTGGAGATCGTTCGAGTCTTCGGCGATCGGCGGCTTTTCTCGGGGATGGACAGACCCCCCTTTAGTAAAACGTGGTTTAGTGAAAAAAACCTGAGACCTAAACCTGGAGGGCGCAAACCTGGAAAATAACGGCCACGGCGCCCTCTCGAGAACCGAAAACGGACAATTCACCAATCGACGTGTCACTGTTGGGGGTTCTGTCCAGCCCCGATTTTCGACCTCCACATCGCTCCCAACTGGCCGACCCCTGGGGCGCTGGCGGCGTTCAAGCTTGAAGGCCTGGAACGCGGAGCCGCTGCCGCGTCGGCACGGTGCGACCCTGTTGCATCGGGAGCGGCCAAGAGGGGGGTGTCCAAGAGGGGGAGGTGCAAATCATGACCGGCGGCATGTGCGCGGCCCAGCGGGGGGGGCCAGGGACGTAATAAAATAAGAAGAGGCGCCACGAAATCTGGGGAGATCTCATGGCCCATGCCATGATATCCACCCCCCCCTAGTCATCACCCCCCTCTTTTCCGCCCCCGATAGTATGGCGTGGAGCGTGAAGCCTTACTGGTTGACCGGTGAAACCTGCTTCTTACCGTGCCACGGCGCAGCTCAGGCGTCGTCCCCGCCGCTCAAGCTGCTGCCGCTCGGCAGCGCGCCAGGGTCTGGCGCAGCCCCCTGCTCCAGCAGGGGCCCGGTGAGGGCGGACTCCGAGAGGGCGTGGGGCTCGCCCTGCGTGCGGTCCGCGCCGGGGTCTGGCGCGGCCCCCTGCTCTAGCAAGGGCCCCGCGAGGGCGGACTGCGAGAGGGCGTGGGGCTCGCCCTGCGTGCGGTCCGCGCCGGGGTCTGGCGCGGCCCCCTGCTCCAGCAGGGGCCCCGCGAGGGCGGACTCCGAGAGGGCGTGGGGCTCGCCCTGCGTGCGGTCCGCGCCGGGGTCTGGCGCGGCCCCCTGCTCCAGCAGGGGCCCGGTGAGGGCGGACTCCGAGAGGGCGTGGGGCTCGCCCTGGGTGCGGTCCGCGCCGGGGTCTGGCGCGGCCCCCTGCTCCAGCAGGGGCCCGGTGAGGGCGGACTCCAAGAGGGCGTGGGGCGTGATGCCGTTCTGGTCGCCCTGCGTCCGGTCCGCGCCATGCGCCAGGAGCAGGGGTACCAGGCCGTGGTGCTTCTTGAAGACGGCCCACCACAAGGGTGACCGGAGGTCCTCGTCCGCCAGGTTCACGCCCGCGCGCGCCTCCAGGAGGGTCCTGCAGACGCCGAGGTGGCCTTCCTCAGCGGCCAGGCAGAGGGGTGTCCACTCGTCGTCGTCGCGCGCGTCCACGTGGGCCCTGCCGCGCAGGAGCGCCGCGCACGCCAACTCGTGGCCCCTGTCGGCGGCCCAGTGCAGCGCGGAGCACTCGTTTTCGTCCACTGCCATCACGTTTGCGCGGGCCCGGATCAGCAGCTCCAGCACTTCGGCGTGCCCCCCTGACGCCGCCGTGCGCAGGGCCGGGAACGCGTCCTGGCCACGCAGCAGGCGCGGGTTCTCCACGCCGCGCATGGGCAGAGCCCGCAGCAGCAGCCCGGCATCGCGGGTGACTGGCTCAGGGCGCGGAGCCGCTGGCACCGGCGGTGCCCTGCTGCGGGGCGGGGGCGCAAAGGCGGCGTCGCCCGCGGGGCCCAGCTCGGCGAAGAGCTCCAGGCAGTGGTCGGCCCGCAGCAGCCAGTCCAGCCAATCCGAGCGCCCCTCCGAGGCGACGAACTCCAGCAGCCGCTCGCTGGCGCGGAAAGTGACGCCACGGCTGCCGTTGCCGTTGCCGATGCCCCGCGCGCCGAGGCTGGCGGCCACCAGGCTGGAGCCGGGAGCGACGCGGAGGCTCAGCAGGGTGCCCAGGGCCGTGCGGCGGAGCGCCCAGCCCAGGACGGCCTCCAGGGGCGCCCCCGCGGGCACGGCCAGGTGGGGCACGTGGAGCAGCGGCGCCGCGGGCGCGCGGCTGCCGCTGCCGCCGCCGACCCCGCCGGGGGGCCTGGCCCCTCGCGACCAGCGCGCGCACACCGCGAGGCAGGTGAGGTCGGCGGGCGCCTCCAGCAGCAGGAGCACGCGGGGCAGCAGCCACTCCTGCTCCGGCACGTGGCAGGGCATGCGGCGGCGCCAGGCTGTGCGCGCGGGCGCGGGGCGGGCTGCAGAGGAGCCAGGATGCTGTGGTGCCCGGGCGGGCCGCGAGTACCGCGCGGCCTGGCACCTGACATGAACGGAAACGTCGTCGTCGACCTTGTCATTGTGCTCGTCGTCCTCGTCGTCGACGTCTCCCCCTCTGCCGCCGCAGACACCGCTTCCGTCGTCGTCGTCGTCGTCGTCGTCGTCGTCGTCGTCGTCGTCGTCGTCGTCGTCGTCGTCGTCGTCGTCGTCGTCTCTGTCGTCTTCGTCGTTTCGTTGTTTTCGTCGTTTTCGTCGTTTTCGTCGTCGTCGTCGTTGACGCCGTCGTCGTCGTCCTCGTCCTCGTCGTCGTCGTCGTCGTCGTCGTCGTCGTCGTCGTCTTCGTTTCGTCGTCGTCGTCTTCGTTGCCGTCGTCGTCGGCATCGTCGTGGGAGGCGTCGTCACGTCATGAGGCCTCATGGGGTCGCGGCCCTCTCGCGACGCCGCCTACCTTCCCAGACCTCGCCCTCGCTCTCCTCCTCGTCCCCCCTCGTGCCCCCCTCCCTCTCCGGAAGCCTCCAGGCAGCTCCGCGCGGAGCTCCGGAGACCCCAGGGACCTCAGGACGCCCCCCCTCCGCCCTGACATGGAGGACCGTGGGGACGTTGGGCCACTGGGCCCACCATCGAGACCAAGGCGCCCCACCACTTCGCGGGCGAAAGCCTGTACACATATGTTGTGCTCACGGGCGTGGGCGCCTGCCCCAGGGCGGCCGGAAAGGTCACATCCCCACTTGCGCCACCGTCGGCGTGTGTATGACCTCTCCGGCCGCCGTCGCAGGGGTGCCCCCCCTGGCGAAACAGTCTGTGCTGCTCCGCTCTTCGCACGCCGCGAGCCACGCCAAGCCACCTGACTACCTACCAGACCACCCCAACCCAACCCGAAGACCCGAATTTCGGGTGGGGGGGGAAGGGGGGCATGGGCTGCCTACGTGGTTTTTCGATGTTTCCCGACCCCCCCCCCCACTGGACAGGCAGGGCAACTTGGAGCCTTCGGGTTGGGTTGGGGTGGCTTGCTGGGGGGCGACCACTCCCTTCCGCGCGCCACCGGGGCGAGAGCCTCCGGCAAACCGGCGCCCGGGCTGCTGCCATGCCGGGCCCGGGCGCTCGCGCCAGGTCTCCAGCTTGCCGTCGCTCGGACGTCCCTTTCCCGTGCATGTTTCGGAGGATTCGTGCGTATTTTTGTTGCTCGATGGTCCAGGATCGTCCTCAGTGGTTCTCGCCGAGAAAAGCATGCACGCGTCCGAGCGCTGCCAGGCCAGAGGGCCTCTGGCCCGGCAGGGCCGCGCGGCTCCCCCCCATCCGCCGCGGGCCCGAGCCCTCGGGCCCGAGCCCTCGGCGCTCGGGCGGAGGAGCCGCGCGGAGAGGGAGGGGGGGCCCTCCCGGGGGTGCCCCCCCGCTCCGGCCCCAAGGGTTAGGTCAGGGCGTTCCGGAAAGTATGTGAGGACGTATCGGGATATAGACGTTGTCGTCGTAGCTGGGCCTTCGCCATCTTCAGTGACTTGCGAGGGAATCTCGAGGGATGCCGCCGTTCCTGGGTTTGGAGGCCTTTCTGGACAGGGCGTCTCGGGGTACACTCCGAGAAAGTATTGCGCGGGAGCCGCCGTCGTCGTAGCCGCGCTCGAGCGGGAGCCTTGGTTTCAAAGAACCTGTCACCGTCGTCGTGGCGATAGCGCCCCCCTGGAACCGTCTTCATCGATCAGCAACAACCATTCTGTCTCGAAATATGATCCAACGACGACTTCGACAACGACTCCGAGACACGACGACGGCAGCGACCACCGCTTCGACTTCGGCGTCGACGGCGACGCCGTCGTCGATGACGATGCCGAACGACGACATCGACCAGGACGGCGACGCCGACGTCGAACAACAACGGCGTGAAGGCTTTGACGTCGACGCCGGCGGCGACGACTTCGACCTCGACGACGACTTCGGACGACGGCCCACGACGACGACAACGAAAGCGACGACTTTGACGTCGGCGGCGACGACGCCGCACGACGCCGTTGAAGCCGACGTCGAGCGTCGGCGCCGACGCCGATGACGACGACGCCGATCGGCGCCGTGCGGGGCTGCGGGCCGCTGGCCTCTGGGCGAACCACGCGGCGGCCTCGGACGGCGAGGAGGCCGCAAGACACCTGGCTGCGGCCCCGCATCTGCTCGGCATCGCTCGGACGTCCATTCCCTGTGCTCTGTCCCGGCTTCGTGCGTGGCTTCTTCTCGCCGAGTGACCAAGGGTGCTCCTCGATGGTTCTCGCCGAAGGAAACGTGCACACGTCCGAGCGATGCCAAGTCTGGCCGCCGCGCCGACGGCACCGCACGGCGGCCGCCGCCGCCGCCGTCGCCCAGCGCCTTCGACGTCGTCGGCGCCGCTCGCCGCCGCCGCCCGGCGTTGATCCTAGGGCTCCCAACTTCGCGCTTCGCGCTCCGCGAAGCGCGAAGCGCGAATAACTTCGCGCCCTCGCGCCGCCCCCCCAAAGGGAGAAGAGGAGGACGAGGAGGAGGGGGAGGAGGAACGAGGACCGCGAAGCGCGAAGCGCGAATAACTTCGCGCCCTCGGGGGAGCCCTTGTTGATCGGGGGGTCGAGGGCGCCGCCCAGAGCGCCGTGTTCGCCACGGCGGGATGCCCGTCGGAGGGGTGGCCAGAGCGCACCCCCTGTGGAAAATCTGGACGTCGGTCGGTCGTCGCCGTCGTCGACGCCGTCGCCGTCTGAATCTCTCTCTCTCTCTCTCTCTGTCTCTCGTGCTCCATCCTCCTCCCTCCCCCGTGCCCCTTCCTTCCCTCCGTCCGCCCTTCCCCTGCCTTACGGTCTGCACGAAATACACGTTTCGGGTAAGAAAGATAAATGCCCCCGAGGGGGTACGATCGGAGACAATGAGGGCGGGCATCGAGGGATTGCGATATACGTGTTGAATGGCACGCGACCTGATAAGAGCGAACGGTCTTAAGATGACTGTTTCTGTTGTTGAGCTCCAGGAGTAGTGACCCTTCGCCCCCCAGCTGAGCGGCAGCGCTTCTCCATTGAATCACCCACCCCCGCCGGCGCTCTCGCGCCTGCTTTTTGTTGGCAGCCGATGGAAATCTACAAGCTCAATCTGCGACCCTGGCCCGCTCCCAACGGATACCTCCTCACACAGCATTCAGGCATCGAACTCTCGTTTGAGCCTTCGTCGCATTAGGACTCTGGCGCCGCGCTCGCGCCTGGAGTTTCCTCGCAAGTTCCTCCTGCGCCACGCTCTCGCTGCTCAGGAACCGGTAGTTCGCTTGGGAGCTCCTCTTAATGTAACCAGGAATCTGGCTCGATCCACCCAGGAAGTGCACTCGCCCAGGACTTCCCTGCAAATCACCTGGGCATCGTGACCTCGCCCGATGACCATGTTGCCAAGCAATCGCGCAGTCATGCCACGCCCGCCCGACCCGCCTACTACTCGCCATCGCTCGGACGTCCATCCCCCGTGCATGTTTCAGTTTCGTGCGTGGCTTTTTTCGCCAAAAGATCAAGGATGCTCCTCGATGGTCCTCCTTGGCGAACCAACAGCACACACCCATACCCATAGGGGGATCGGAGAGGGCTATGGATGCGTGTTGTCGGATGGGGGTCCCCGCTCGAACGGGAGCGTTCCCCAGGGTCCGACAACCCACACCCATACCCACAGCCAGTCCTCCTCCCAACGACCCCCCTATGGGTATGGGTGTGTGTTGTTCGTTCGTCACTCCTCGCCGAAGGAAAAATGCACACGTCCGAGCGATGCCAAACTTAGGGTCCGCCCGCCCGCCCCGCCCGCGAGGGACCGTCCGCCCGGCGCGCCCGCTGGGGCCCGCCCGCCCGACCCGCCCGGCGGGGCCCACCTGCCCGACCCCGGCCCGACCCGCCCCCTTGAACGAAGGGGCCATGGGCTTAGTGGGCCCTGGAAACGACAAGGCCGTTTTTTTACAGGTTCCGTTTTGCCGTTTTTTACCGGTTCCGACGCCGTTGTTTTTGTTACCGGTTCCGTCACCGTTGTTTGACCGGTTCCAGCTCCGGTTCCAATCCTGGAGCCGTTTTTTGCCGTTTCCGGTCGCCGTTTTTTTGCCGTTTCCATTTTCAATGGACATTTTTCTGGAAACGGTGAAAAAACGGCCCTGCCGTTTCCGGGGCCCACAGAGGCCCTGGGACACACAACTAAATGCACACACATGGCAGGATTCCCCCCTATTTTCCCACATTCTCGGGGTGCCTGTGCTCCCCCCCCCACTTCCCACAGGTTCCCATGCTTTTCCGGGGAATCGCCGATGAAGCGTGTCTGCTTGTTTTCTGCCCTCCTGACTCTCGAAGGTTGCGCCCTCCCGACCAGCCCAGCATGGTCCACCCGCCCGCTCGATCGGAGGTCCGCGCGGGCCGCCCCGCGTGGGCTGGAAGCCCCCTGCTTGGAAGTCCGCCCGTCCTCGTCCCTCCTCGTCCTCCTCCTCCTCCTCGTCCTCCTCGTCGTCCTCCTCCTCCCCTTCCTCCTCCTCCTCCTCCTCTTCATCCTCCGTCTCCCCTCCGTCTCCCCCCTTCTCCTCCACTCCTCCCCCACTCCTCCAGCCCCCCCACTTCCCCTCTTCGCCCCCTCGAGCTCGCCCTCGCCCCGAGGAGACACTGGCTCCGGGGGGGAAGCCTCGATCTGCGGTGAGCGATGCAGTGCCTGGTGATCGGAGATAGGCCTCCAACAGCGAATCCGCACGCTCCTGGATCCCTTCGCGATCAGGGGGCCCCAGCTTTGTCGTCGTTTCGCGTACCCCCGTGAGCCTAAACTCCCCTTAGCTCTGCCAGGGAGCCCACCTCCCACCTACGGAAACGTTGCCCTGATCGGAGGAGGGCCCCAGCCTGAGCCAACGGCTCGGCCAGTTTCCCCGCCAGGCCAAAAATCCTCCTCCTCATACTTCTCCCTCCTGAGTCCTTCTCCTCTCCCTTCTTGTGGTTGGGTGTTCTGTGTGATTGTGTGTGTTTGTGAGCGGATGTGTATCATGTCTTGTGTGTTTGTTGTGTGTGTTTGTTTAGTGTGAGATGGTGTTTGTTGTGTTAATTCCTTCCGTGTTTGTGTGTGTGCGTTGTGCGTGTGAGCGCGTGTGTGGGTCTGTCTGTGTTATGCTGTGTCTGGATCGTGTGTGGTCGGGGCGTTTTTGTAGTGCGTGAAAAGCTGCGTGGTTTGTTTGGTTGAGGGTTCGTTTGTGTGTGGTGATGTGTTTTTTGTGTGTGTGTAAGGTGTTGTGTTTTGTTGTGTCTGTGTTTATGTGTTGTTTGGTGTGCTGTTTTTCTTGGGGGGGGGTGTTTTGTGTGCTGTTTTTTATACTCATCATAACCCCCTCACTACTAACTATCAATCCCATCTATAAACGAATCATCAGCATCATACCCATTCCATCCTCATATCCTCAATCTCATCCTAATCGTCATCCTCCTCCTCCTCCTCCTCCTCCGCCTCTGGGCACCTCTCCGGGGCAGCACCTGCCCGCGCTTCAGGGCGGGCCCGGCCGTGGCGCCGAGGACGCTCCCAGGAGGCCCCGCGAGGACGGAGAGGCGCCGCCGAGATCTCGGCGGCGCGCACGAGGGGGGCACAGTGAAAACGTATAGTAAGGACGCGTGGTAACAAGGGCTCCTAAGTTCGCGCTTCGCGCTGCGCGAAGCGCGAAGCGCGAATAACTTCGCGCTCTCGCGCCGCCCCCCAAGGGGGAGAAGAGGAGGACGAGGAGGAGGGGGAGGAGGAAGGAGGACGGCGAAGCGCGAAGCGCGAATAACTTCGCGCCCTCCTGGGAGCCCTTGTGGTAAGGACGCAAGACCCTTGGAGGCCGAAGTTGAGGTAATTCTGGGCGGCAGGCGGCCAAACCCCCGGGGAACCAGAGAAACTGGCCTGCGAAAACTTGAGACACTGGCCTGCTAAGAAGCGGCCTCCTTCTACGAAGCCTCTCCCCCTTCCGCTACCCTGAAGTCGGGCCTGTCCCCCTACAGGGGGATTTTCGACGAAACATCAGAAAAAAACCCAATAATAATCAACAAATAGTCCAAACATAGCCTGGGGACTGTTTTTGGAGTATTGCTTGACCTTATGGGGGTATGTTTGGGATATTTTTTTATGTTTCGTCGAAAATCCCCCTGTAGGGGGACACGCCCGACTTAAGGGTAGGGGAGGGGGGAGGCTTCGTAGAAGGAGGCAGCTTCTTAGAACTCGCGGGCCTCACGTCTACAGACAATGCAGGCGCCTTCTAAGAAGCAGGGGTGCTTCGAAGAAGCCTCCCCCCTCCCCCTACCCCCTCTGCGCGTGGCCGACCGAAGTCAAGCGTCCCCTTCCCCAAAGAAACGGAGCCAACTTCCAGAAAACAACGGAATACCTCTGGAAGCCGAAGTCGATTTCACCAAAAAAAAACGCACCTGCATCGGCCTGGTGTTGCTGAAGGTGCCCCTGGCTCAAGGTGCCCCCCGGGAGCTCCAGGGAGGCCCCTCCCAAGGCCTCCAGAGAACCCCCTTCGCGAGGCCCGGATGGCCCCAGGGGCTCCAACATCAAGCGAGAAGCTGAGGGCACCTGAGCCCAGGGGCACCTGCGGGCTACACGCAAGAGTGACCCTGGGTAAGAGTGACATATGGTGCGCGGCATAAAGGGCGACGCGGGGTAGCCAAATCCGGGCGCACAAGCCGCTGCTACCACTTCGCGCTTTGGTAGAAGAAGGCACTGCGGCATAAACATAAGCTGTTGGCGCTCCGCGCGGACTGCTTGCATTTGCGCTAGACCCCCTTCCCTGGCGCGCGGAGCGCACCAGGGGCGGCGCCAGAGGCGCCGCCAGGGGGTCCCAACAGGGCTCCAAAAATCCGCGCGGAGCGCCACAAGTTTCTGATTATGCCATGCTTTCTTCTTCGAGTTGGGCCCGCACCCACAGGTCACTCCGGCGAGAGGTCTCTCTTGCGTGTACACGTCGTTCATTTCTTATCGTGCTCATTTCTAGTTGTGCTCGCTTCTCTTTGTTCTTGGCACCCTAGTGGCCAGGAAGAGGCCCAGGATGGAACAATTAGGAATGAAGGTATCTTGGCCCCCACAAAAATCCAAGAACTTTCGAAGAATTGGACATGAGCAGTGTGTAGCCGAAGCTGTAGCAGCTCCCCGCTCGGGCCCCGCCCCCCCCCCCCGCGACCGGAGCGCTGCGTCCAGCTCCGCGGGGGCCGCACCCCGCGGCTCGCGCGCGGCCGCCTCTCGGTCGGGGCGGCCGCCGCCGCCGCCGCCGACGCCGCCGCCGCGGTCGGCCTCGACGTCGTCGACCTCGACGTCGTAGACGTCGGCGTCGCCGCCGCAGGCGCCGTCGACCTCCTCGACGTCGTGCTCGACGCCGCCCGCGTCGCCGCCGGCGTCGGCGTCGGCGTCTTACCAGCCTCGAACGTATCCCAACCTTAAGGACAATGCGATGACAATCTTAGGGCGCCGCCCTCAAAAAATAAGGGAATCCCTAAGATTGGCATCGTGATGAGGAGATGCCCAGCATAGGGATAGGGATGTGTTCCAGGCTGGCAAGCGTCGTCGCGGTCCTCGACGTCGACGCCCTCGACGTCGCCGCCGCCGTGGCAGGGGGCTGCAAGGCCGAGGTGGAGGCGCCGCCGCCCGCGCGGCACTCGGCGACGTCGTGGCCGATGCCGCTGGTGGCCGTGGTCGAGATCGCGGTCGCGGCCGTCAATGTAGGGGGCCACATGTGAAACCTACCCCTCCCCCTCAGAAATCGTGGGGACGAGGGGTAGGGTTCGCATGTGGCCCCCTACAATGTCCTCTCCTCCAGCCACTGTCCTCTCCTCCAGCGTGGAGGCTCGTGATCTCACCCGGGGCCGGGCGCCCGTGCAGCGGTTGCTGCGCGCCACAGGGGGCGCAGGGGCCGCCGCAGCGGCACGGCCGCCCCACGCGGGGTGCGGCTGCGCAGGCCTGCTGTCTGACTACCAACCAGACCACCCCAACCCAACCCGAAGACCCGAATTTCGGGTTGGGGGGGGTAAGGGTTCCACATGCGTTTTTTCTATGTTTCCCGACCCCCCCCCCACTGGAAATCTTCGGGTTGGGTTGGGGTGGTTTGGCGGGTGGTGACTGTCGGCGTCGGTGTGGCCTCCGCGCGGGGGCCTCGGGTGCTACTTTCTCTGGCGGCTTCGGGGGGCCTTGTCTGTCCCGTCGCGCTGCGATCCACGTCAGATCCTGGTCGAGCGCGTCGAGTCCGTGTCGGATCCGTGTCGAATCCACGTCGAAGTTCGCGTCGGAGCCACGTCGGAGGACGAGAAACTGATTCCATGGACAGGACAGGAAGTGCCCCCCGAATGTTCAAAGACAGTCACTGCGTCGCGCCCGAAGGCGTCTGGGCACAGGCTGCCCCTGTCCCACGTGACGTAGTAGACAGCCCTTCCAGATCGCAATGGGCGTCCTCGCATATTGAACCTGCCACTGTGCTATGCCGCATCTGGCCCTGACAGAGGGCACAAGCGGAAATGTACTCGCTTTGCTCTGTGGGGAGCACCTTTCTTATTAGAATAAAACGGATGGCACTACGGGCGAGGCCAGCGTACGCGAGACTCTAGAGTCGGGAGGGGCTCCGGTGGCGCGAAGTCCCTTCCGCCACCAACCACCCCGAACCCCCAGGAGAAGAGAAGACTTTGGACGCCCGGAACGGGCACGGAAAAAATGGGTGCAATGCCCAACAGCACATGTTGGGCCCAAGCCAACAGCGGGTGGTCCCAAGCCAACAGCGGCCGCTGTTGGACAGGCGGCCTCCTGTCTCCAATGGGCACAGGCCGCGGCAGCGCGGACAGCGAGCCCTGTCCAAGATGAACAGGAACTGCTGTTGGGCATCGTACCCACTCTCTCCGTGCCCAGGTTCGTCCGTGCCGAGACTCCAGGGCAGTCTGGGGACTATCTGTAAATATTTGTTTGACCTTTTTGGATGTATGTTTGTATGTTTTATTCTTCGTCGAAAACCCCTCTGTAGGGAAACAGGCCCGACCTAAGCCGTTCCGATCGTGCAGACAGACAGGCGCTGCGGGGCGAGGAGGCCGCTCCGAGCCTGCCCTGCCCCGGCCGCGCGCACGGCGAGAGCGGCCCCAGGCCAGGGAGCGGCCTCTGGTGCGCGGCCGCCGGGGAGGCGCGCGCGGGGGAGCCAGACCTCACCAGCCTGGAACACATCCCTATCCCTATGCTGGGCATCGCCTCATCACGATGCCAATCTCAGGGATTCCCTGATTTTTTGAGGGCGGCTCCCGAGGATTTTCATCGCCGTTTGGCGGGTCAATCTTAGGGATAGGGATACGTTCGAGGCTGGTACAGACCCGAGGGCGCAGGCCGCTGCCGCCGCATCGCGTTTAGCCACCCTATAGGGGCCCTGGCATGCCCGCGCAGGTGGTCACTCGCCCGAAGAAGTCGCTCGCACACGCTGGTCGGACGAGGTGGGTAGAAACATGGGCTAGAAGAGGGTAGTTGTGAAATCCTCGTCGGCCGTGGGTTATTATCTGGGAGTGAGCACCTAGGTTCGTTATCTTCAGATGATACCCAATGGATTATTATCCTGTGAATGGATCGGGCTGAGCCCCCCCCCGGCCGAATCATTACCTTTCCGGAATAATCAACCTAACCTTAATATCCCAACATTGTGGAGCAAGGTTTATTTCAGTCCGGAACGTACTCTCAAACGGCGCCCCCCCAAACGCAACCATTTTGATTCCAGAATGGTCAACCCGGGGTCAATATTCCGGAAACATTATGAATCCGGGTTTATCATCTCCTGGGGATGATAAGCCGGGGTCCACATTGCGACATGAAAGACCTGGTGGGGAACCGGGGGGCTGGGGGGACAATTAATTATTATCATTCCGGAATTACGAAAACCGGGCTCATCATTCCCGGGACATTATAAACCCGTCAATCGTCCCGGAACATTATGAACCCAGGTTAATGTGTTTTTTGGGGTCGATGTCCCCAGAACATTATAAACCAAGGTTTGTACTGTTCCGGGGGGACATTATGAACCCCAGCCAATACTCCCAGAACGTTGAAACCCAGGTTCATAGTGTTCCGGGCGAGACACGATGAACCCTGCTCAATAATCCAAGAACGCTATAAACCCAGGCTAACATCTATTCGAGGTCCATCCTGGACGAGGAAGGCGTTGGAAACAGATGGGGCTCCAGCGCGCGCCCTGGGGACGAGGGAAAGAGGGAAGGCCACTGCACTTTTCAACTAGGGAGACGCCTCGAGTAGATTGGGACCTGGGCATCCGAAGAAGCCGACAGGGCAGGTTTTAATACATGGCATTTCTAAAAATATGGGATTTGTAATACATGATTCATGTATGAATGCATTTATGCATGAAATCATTGTTGTTTCTAATATTGAGCCCCATACTTTATTTAATACATGATCCGCACGCGGAGCATATATCAAAGACGGCACCGTACTTCCAACGACCAGCGCGTACGTGCTGCCGACTCGCGCTCGAAACCTCGCGACCCGTCCGACGCCCCGGGCCTGGCAGGCGGGAGACTGCGAGGCGCGCCGGCGCGGCTCCCCGCGGGGCGACGCGGGCGCGGCCGCAGGCCTCCCACGGCGGCCGGCCACGCCGCGCGGAGACACTTTTTTTTGTTTACCAGCTCGAGTGGGCGCCCCGTGGCTTAGGAGAGGAGAGGAAAGCGGCAGGGGGGGAAGAACAAGGAAGAACAAGGAGGAGAGACGCCACGCCGCGCGGAGACACAGGTGCGGAGGAGAGACGCCGCAGCTCCGCGTGACCGACCGCTGCTGCGGCGCGGCCGACCGCGGCGAGTCGGCTACGCGGTCGGCCACTGAGAAGCAGCAGTGTTGCGTGGAGCACCTGCGGGCAAGCGAACTTCTCGTCTCGCGCTCGCGAATTGCAGGCGGGGAGGAAGCGAGAGACAGAGAGGAAGAGAGAGACAACAACAACAACAACAACAACAACAACAACAACAACAACAACAACAACACCACCAACAACAACAACACCAACAACAACAACAACAACAACAACAACACCAACACCAACACCAACAACAACAACAACAATCATTTTACCCGAACGCGTGGTGTTCTCCCCAGTGTCAGGGTTTTCATACGACACCAGACAATACCCCCACTTCGTGGGGGGGCTTTACAAGCTCTACCAAATATCCAAACGACTCTTCGCGACCACCCAAACCCAGCTTCCCGCCCTATGACGTTGGGACACTTCACTTCGTGGCGTGCGGACGACCGTGGCTACTCCACTGGCGTGGGGTACACACCCACAGAACTTGGTCACTTATTCGGGGCGCGCATGTGCCCAGCATGGTGCAATTGTGCCATACAATACATAATACAGAGAGACAGAGAGAGAGAGAGAGACAGAGAGCAGACAGAGAGAGAGACAGAGAGAGCGGAGTTGGTCACATTTTTGGGGCAAGTTCCTGAGATCGTCGTGTTTTTTGTTGGTCTTGCGCGCGCGAATGTCCACTTTACTTTTTTTTTGCAAGGGATGTTGAAATTTGATTATGTAAGAACAAGAAAAAGTAGCTCGCGCGAGCTCATGTAACATAAATGTTGAAAAACCATTGGTTTTGTGGGAGTCGGACAGCGCGCGCGGGATGAAATTTGGACATTTTTTTGAAAAACCATTGGGTTTTTGATGTTTTTATGTTGAAATCGCTACGAAACCTAAGGTTCTGGAAGGATTTCGTCTTGCGCGCGCGAATGTCCACTTTACCTTATTTTTTGCAAGGGATTATTGAAATTTGATTATGTTAGAACAAGAAAAAGTTGCTCGCGCGAGCTCATGTAACATAAATGTTGAAAAACCATTGGTTTTGTAGGATTCGGACAGCGCGCGCGGAAGGACATTTTGACAATTTTTTCTTAAAAAACCATTGGGTTTTTGATGTTTTTATGTTAAAATCGCTGCGAAACCTAAGGTTTTGGAAGGATTTCGTCTTGCGCGCACGAATGTCCACTTTACCTTATTTTTTGCAAGGGATTCTTGCAATTTGATCAAGTAAGAACAAGAATTTTCATTTTATAGTGTTTTTTGCAAGGGAAAACGGATTACAACAAAACAACCGGATCCGGACACAATCCACTTTTCTGAAGCTTTCGCGAAAAAAATGATGAAAATGTAGCTGCGGCCTAGGTTTTGGAGGGGGGGTCGTGCTACCAGGGGAGTCCCAACAATTAATTATTCTTTAGTAGTATAATGTTCAACAACAAAAGTAAACAAACAGTAACAACAAACACAACAACAACAATAATTAAGACCGTTCGCCCCTTATATTGGCTCAGAGCGTTCCATAACGCGTATTTCCCCGCCACCCCCCCAAAACCCTCGATACCGGCCCTCTTCGTCTTCGATCGAACCCCTTTTGGGGGGTATACCTTCTTCCCTGCAGGCCGGGCCCCGGCAAGCGGCGGGGCGGCCGCGGACCGTCGGCCTGGCCAGCGGCAGCGCTGATCGGCGGGGCGGCCGCGGACCGTCGACCCGACCCCAATAGGGACGGACAGGGGACCGACCACGACGACGACGACGACGACAACGGCGACGACGAGCGAAAGCGAGAGCGAGAGAGAACGACAGCAGGGCCACGAAGGGCACCAAGTAGGCCACGGAGGGCGACAGCGGGGACACGAAGGGAATGCGTATGGGGCAACGAAGAGCGCGAACGAGCGGGGGCCACGAAGTGCAGAGAATACGGGGCCACAAAAGGCAACGATGGGGCCACTGAGGGTAGCAACTGGGCCACGTAGGACAATGAGGGGGCCACAAACGGCGACAGCGGGGCCACGAAGGGCATGCACATGGGGCCACAACGGGCGCGATTCCTGGGTGCCTGGGTGTCGGGAGCGTGGCGCTTGGGCAAATTGCAGGAAGTTCCAACGCAAGGGTATTCTTCACAAAGTTCCAAGCAAGTCTCCAGCGCGCGACTCCAGAGCGCTGGGAGAGCGATTCCGGAATAAATTGCGAGGAAGTCCCAAACGAGAGCGCGATTCCTGAATAACATGCGAGGAAATCTCGGGCGGGAGCGGGGGTCTTGGCTAAACTGTGGAGAAATCTCAAGCGGGAACCGTTGTTGTTGTAACCTGGGGGCCAGGGGCCCAGTTTGAGCAGGAAGATTTCCCATGTCAAAAAAACAGGGTGCGAGCGTCGAGAGGCACACTTTGATTGAGAAAAACTGTATGCACCGGTGGGGGGATCAACAATAATTATTATTCATAAATGGAAACTCAACAACAACAACAACAACAACAACAACAACAACAACAATCATTTTACCCGAACGCTCAGTGTTCTCCCCAGTGCCAGGGTTTTCTTGCGACACCAGCCAATACCCCCACTTCGTGGGGGGGCCGTTCAAGCTCTACCAAATATCCAAACGACTCTTCGAGACCACCCACACCCAGCTTTCCGCCCTATGACGTTGGGACACTTCACTTCGTGGCGTGCGGACGACCCTGGCTACTACACTGGCGTGGGGTACACACCCACAGAGGTTGATCACATCTGTTACACATGATGTGGTACACGGTACACGTGACATGGTGCGCGGCGGCCGCGCGCATGTGCACTTCGTCTCATTTTTTGCAAGGGATGGTGGCCCTCGCAGGCGCGCAACCGTTGTTGGAGAAGTTCAAAGCACCTGAAGAAGTAGCACGCAAAGACCCTTTTGACAGAAATGTTTAAAAAGTGGTGTGTGTTCCTATGAATCCGCAAGAGCGCGCGGAAGGACATTTTGACATTTTTTTCTTAAAAAACCATTGGGTTTTTGATGTTTTTATGTTAAAATCGTTACGAAACCTAAGGTTTTGGAAGGATTTCGTCTTGCGAGCGCGAATGTCCACTTTACCTTATTTTTTGCAAGGGATTCTTGAAATTTGATCAACTAAGAACAAGAATTTTCATGTTCTATTGTTTTTTTGCAAGGGAAAACGAGCGTCAACAAAAAAACGGATCCGGGGGTAATCCACTTTTCTGAAGCTTTCGCAGAAAAATGATGAAAATGTAGCTGCGGCCTAGGTTTTGGGCGGGGGGCGTGCACCAGGGGGTCCAACAATAATAATTCTTTAAAAGTAATAGTGTTCAACAACAACAACAACAACAACAACAACAACAACAACAACAACAACAACAACGACAACGACAACGACAACGACATCGACAACGACACTACCAACAACAACAACAACAAAACAAATCATTATAAGGCTGTTCGCTCTTATTTGCCCGTGTGTCACTCAAAAAGAAAATTTCCCGCACCCTCGATACCCGCCCTGTTTGTCTGAGGGAGGAGGCAACAGAGGGGAGGGAGAAGGGGGGAGGGAGAGGAGGGAGAGGGGATAGCGCAGAGAGGCATGAGGATGAGGGACAATATGAGGGAGAGAGAAAGGAGGAGAGCAGGGAGGAGGGAGGAGGGAGGGGGAGGAGGAGCAGGAAGGTAAGAGCGTGAACGTGCGAGGGAGTCCTACGCGAAAGCGCCGATCCTGAAGGAAGTCTCGGGCGGGGGCCCACGACGGGCGGGCGATCCCCTGACGGGCGGGTCGGGCGGGTGGGACATTCAAGCGGGATGCCCGAGTATGGCGAGAGCGCGAGTACTAAGTAAATTGTAGCGGCGTCCTTGGCGCAGCGTGTTTCCTGAGCATCGAAAGCGCGATTTTGGAATAAATCGCATGGAAATCAGTCGTTCCTCTGGGAATCGTGGTTAGATGTAAAAGGAACATGGGTTTCATGATCTTCAATAGTTAAGCCTGGGGCTTCACTATGTGTGGTCGTAGATCTTTTCTGGGGAGGCTCAGGGAGAGAACTACTGGGGAAAGCCATGGCTTCGGCAGCAAAATCTCAGTTAAACAATATGTGAATACGTGCGCACGCGCCGGGCAGGCCGGCCGAAGGGCGAGGGGGGGCGCGCGCGCGGATATCGTTTCTCCACTTGACTCACAAAGGTAGCTGCGGACAGCACAGATGCATGCATCATCGATAGATCGGCGATGGCTTCGGCAATAAAGTCTACAAATACATACTACAAGTACTGCACGGCGGCGGCAGCGGCAAAAGAGAGGATGCGGAGAGGAGCATATTAACTCCCCCCGCGGCGGGGTCCGTAGAGACGCCCCGACCCCCAACCCACCTGGCCTGTACATATGTACAGCCACCGGAACGACCCCCAAAAAGCACTTTACCGCTCAACGGTGGTTGCTAGGGGGCAGAACCCCGAAGAAGCCCGACGTTCCCCACCTCCGCATAGAGCCGGCCACTCATTTCTAAAAGATATTCTGGCTTCGCCTTGCCCTCGCCCTTGCCATGGCCCATGTCTCTTCCATCAGCCGCAGGAGGCGGCGGGGAAGTCAGCGGCGTATAGACATCTGGATGCAAAAGATCTTCACTGACGAGTGCTAGACGAGGGATACGATCCCAAGGCAGACGCACTGAAGGTAAATTGTGCAACCTTGTCGCTCAACAGCTGGCTCCACGTCTATTCAGATCCATCGTGCGGCTGAACGCCCTTGCCTTTGGTGCAGTTCTTGTTGCACCGGAAGTGCCAGTCATAGGAACGGCCTGCCGCAAGGGCTGCGCCCTTGCCGGAGCCGGCGCACGGCCCTGATCGGACCGACGGCCGGCCAGTGCCCTTGGTCTTGCTCTTGTCCTTGTTCGCCAGGAAGGCGCCGAGGCGGCGCCGCCAGGAGGCGCCGAGGAATAGCGCTCATCAACCTGCTGCCCGGACATTGGCCGACCCACGCATAGCGAGGTCGCGCAGAAGAAGCGGCCGATGACACAGATGACGGTCGGCCATCATTCCTGCGACCGTCGCGGTTTGACCGCTGGTCGCCCACGCATAATGAGAGGCAGGAGGAATCAAGACAAACAGCGCCCCCCCGCTTCGCCAACAGCGCGGGCAAGCTCCGTAAAGTGCTGTAAGAACTGCACCGGGTATAGGGCAAACGGAGAAACACGGACTGGGGCACCAGGCAAATACAAATCGAGCTAACAAGGCTGGCAAGATAAAACGTCGCACTGGGCTGGAACGCGCGTGCTGTCCAACATCAAATCAAATGTTATGTTGTCAACGTTGAGGTAATGGTGGTGATCAAATCAAATCGTCAGAACGTTAAAGCAACGCTGGTACACGAAAGCGGTAAGTGGGCAGTGTCTCTGGCCGCGGCGGCTGGGCCGCTGGCCGGCTCAAAGCCACGCTGAGGGTGTTGGAATGATGGGCACAGCTGGCGGAGCGGGCGGTGGAGCCGCCACGTCAGTAGCTGTTCCCGGGGCGGCTTGGCCGACCGGCGACGCAGGGGTGTTGAGACCGCTGGCGTCATCCGCCCCCTGAACGGCTAGGCCGTCAGAGTCACCCACAGTCTGATTATCGTTCTCACGGGCCTCGCGCTGCTGCTTGGCACACCGCAAAAACAACGCCAGCATCACTTGTCAGTTGAAGCAAGGAAATCAAATCAGGCCACTATGAGAGGAATAAGTCGCACCACAATGCAAGACGCAACGAAAATGTCACGACTTTCGCTGCTACGATGGTGTTGATTGATTCCACCGAACGCACAAGTGGAATAACAACTGTTGCACATTGTGGGGCCTTTTTCCTTGAACCAACAAACGCTTGCGCCGTTCAAGGGTCACTGCTGCGTGGTGCTCGACCAATTGCCGCTTCAATCGGCCGAGGCCCGCCCATGATATACAAAGTCCATCAAAGTGAAGTTGGTGCCGATGTGTCCTGTTAGCTCGGCGCATTGGCTACTCGCCCTCGTTCAAGTCGGTCACGCCTAAGGTAAACGCACATATTTTGCTCACTTATTTATCATCATTTGGCCGTTACAACATGTTCTGAAAGAAAATCCAAAATGTGAGCACAATCGTTCGCTTGCCGGAGCTTCACCTGGAACCTTCCGCGGAAGGTGTTGCGCCTTTCGCATCGTCGGCTCGGCCGGGCGCGGAAGCAGCAGGGAGTTGCTGGCTTAACGCTAGCTGGTTTGACCAGGAACGCCGGCGGCTTTCGTCAACGCCGAAGGAGTGGATGTTGCGCTGAGCAACTGTATAACTCCGGCGGCGACCCCCACAGGCGGAGGCCACGATGAAGATAAGTCGCCAGCTACACCGGGTGAGCCAGGAGCGGGAGCAGCATGGCTTCACTCGTCTACGTCTTCTGCAATTGATGGCCTGTCGGCCAACTCCCTATTGCACTGCCTTCGCTCTTCATGGAGCACCATAGCCACCGCTGCTGCCTGGGCTAGTGGATGGCACCGCTGGCATATTTATTGGTTTTGCTACAGGCCCAGCGGGCTTACCCTGGGCAGGGCGCCACCAAGCGTAGTTCAGTTATCTGCTTGACAACGGCTCCTCTCCGCACCTCCCCCGGGTTTCAGGGGAAGGCTGTCGGAAAATAGAGTTCCAACATACCTGGGGAAATTGCGCGCGCACGGCAGCGGCGTCAAAACGACGAGCGCGAGGGAGGTGCACAAGCATCATAGATCCCCCCCCCCCCCGCACAAATGATATCGCATACCGCTCCACATCGGCAAACTACGTGGGATCTGTGATCTAAGTAAGGTCCAATCTGGCAGCTAAGTATATGTCGAGTGCGATTCGGTAATCGGCAAAATAAAAGTGACTGGGCAAGGTAGCCAGTCTGTCGTTGTCTGAGTGACTGGGCAAGGTAGCCGAGCAGAGCTGCAACGGCACACGAGGCACGCTGCGCCGCAGGACGGCGGCCGCCGATCTCGAGGAAAGGCTTGCCTCCCCAGCCCTCGCCGACTTGGTCGGTGGACCTCCCTTGATCCAAAGGTCCTCGCAGACTGAGTCGGTCTGGAATCTCGCTGGTGATCCCGGCCTCACATGGCCACAGGCCTGTCATCCACTAGCACTCCCCCCGGACTGTCATAATTGGGCTCGTCCTCGGAGTCGTTGCGTGGCGCGGCCTCGCCTCCTAGTGGAGGCGGCGGCAGTGGCAAGGCTGGGGTCTTCGCCACGAAACGGCTTGGCCGATTGCGCGCTAGACCTGGCCCCCGCACCGTCCGAGATGGCTCAGGCCGCAGCAGGCGGGACGGTCACTGAGCGCACTTCGGTCATGGTCTTGTCACGCGCTGTCCCCATGGGAAATTGGGTTTCTCGGTCCTCCGCGGGACCGTCTAAGATGATACTGTAAATCCCCGGCCAAACACCAAAGGAACGACGTAAGTCTCCTTCTTCGTGCGGAAACCGTCGGCACAATTTTGAGCCCTTTTTCTTTTTCCAGGCCGTCGCGAGACTGCGCGCTGGAGAGTTGGGCCGCACACCTGCGTCTGTCCAGTTTCGGCCCAATCATGCCCCCCGCTTTGTGGACATGCCTGGGTGCATCGCATCCCTGATCATCATATGTCCAGTTATGACAACTCTGAACAACGACTCTGGCGGGGCAAATAGCGCATATGGGATTCTGAAAGGAGGCAAGGCGCAGCCAGACATGTACAAATCGACGCAACCGTCTGGGCCCAGACTGTTTGGCCGCTGAGCCGCCCTCAGGGATCCTCGCATTGTGATTAAGACAAAACACAGCTGTACCAAAAACGATTCTTGCCCGCGTCATATTCCTTCCTGCGTCAGATGAATAAGAAGAGGAGTTGAGGAAACGAACGTTGCCAAGTCAACCAGGAATAAATGAGGAAACCTGTGAGCAAATTCCTCTGCTGCGCGTCATCCACGTAGTCAGCGCCGTATAGCCCCAGCCCGGATACACGCCGAACAAAAAGGGGTCCTGGGATTACGAGTCTAAAGGGAAATTAGGACACACAAATAAATACACACAAATAAAAATAGTCCCCATATTCTCCCATATTTTCTGGGTTTTTGTCTTCCCCCCAATTCCCATATTTTCCCATATTTTCCTGGGAATCGAGGATTAATTGTGTCTGTGTGTTTTTTTCCCTCCTGAGAGTTGGGGGACGCGTGAGGGAGGCTGCGACCGTTGTGAACCGCTCGGCAGGAGTTACCGACACCTCAACCCCAGCATCTTCTGGGTCTGAATCAGATGGGTCGCCGATGTTGGCCACGCCAACGCCATCTGAGCCCTCGCAGTCAGCAGCCACTGATGCTGTAGCTGCGTCACGCGCGTGGGGGTCCAACCTCGGATCTTAGCCGAAAGGAAGGTACGTATCCTGAGATTCCGTCTGTACACGGGCACGCACGCGCGGCGACGCAATCCTCGGCTTAGTCGGGCTGCGTGCGCCCACGCAGCCTGTGGCTTGGCCACGGCCGGGTGACTGAGAGGGGCTCATAAAGGCAGCGGTATCAGTAGGTGTCCGACTCCAACCGCATTCGGGTGCCTTGCGAGGCGAATCACACAAGTAGATGATGGCAGGCGCAGAATCTAACGAGAACGGGAAACGGGACATGGACTCAGCCGGCCGTCCATCAACTTAGCTGCGGGAGCCCATCGACGCATGTGTATGCAACTCTGTGGTATACGTGACTCTGAACTGACTGGGGTGGGGAACCTCCCTCCAAATCCATATCCCCCAGAACCGCCTTGGACCCTAGCGCCACGCAACGCAACCGCCCGGGAGTCACAGACTTTACTGGCGGCAGCCGCGCGCATCTGTTGACCCAGCGCCGCTTTGCCCAATCGGGTCAAATACGGAGACTTGCCCACAACGGTTTGGTTCATTTGAGACCGTTGGGCAAAAGTTGAACATTGATACTGGCGACACAACTGAACCGAGGGCCAAGAAGGAACCGCGGCAGTATTCAGAGTGACCGTCCGCAGAGCCCGCAGACCAAATTCATTGCATCTCTGCCAACAAAATTATCCGCACTAAGGTTGCGCCCGCATCCTGGGTCAGGATGAAACTCAACAACTGGGAGTGCACGGAGCCTGCGTCCTTGCACCCCACTACGGCTGGGCCGTGTGAAACAACAACCTTTCGTTCCTCGGGCTCCAATCATGGGTGCCAAAATCCACTCGCAAGGGCTGCCTCCCTGAGTGAAGCCTCCATCGACAATGCCTGCCAAAATCCACTCACAAGGTTTGACGCGCGTCGATGCCCACCGCGCTGCGTGGGACGGAACTACCACCTATGTTTCACTCAGCGGCAGCTCTATGAGACTGTGGCGGCGCACCTTCCGTCAAGCGATGGTGGCTCCGCGATCGAGGGGTCGATTCTGGCGCAGATGCTGCAGCGATCTTTCTCGGTGGACCGGAGACAGCTCTGACTGGGGCGCGCCGCAAAACAGCGCGCTGGGGAAATTTGGCCACAATACAGCTAAGCAAGCGTCTAACTGTGGCGTTCCGAGAAAAGTGGGGCAAGAGAGCAGGGATTCTGACGAGCTCTCCAACATGTTCCTTGCGTTCTGGCGCTGAGTGGTCAGGCGCACGAGCGCCGCAGCGTCCGGGCCGGGCGCGCCATCTTCCTGGCTGCGTGCGCCGGCGCCCGACCAAACAGGACTGCCGGCGCACTCTGACAGGCGCCGACAAGACATCCGCGCACAAGCACAGACATCCAAGGATTTCAACAAGCTCGAACGAAGGGGTTACCAATCGGAGGCGTGAGCAGCCGTAGGAGAAATGATCAATTATATTGCAAGTTGTGTTACTAGAGGCCTGTGGAAAACATGAGCTGGCCTGCTTCAGCTCTGGGGCGCCCCGCGCGAGCGGGGTCGAGCACGCGTGGGCGCCCCGACTGGTTGGACCAGCGGTCTGTCTCTCGCCTACCCGCGACCGGCTTGGCCGACGCAGGCATCGACATCCCTTTTAACGAGGAGAATGAGAAACAGCGCGAGGGGCTTGCCTCCAGCCCCCCCCCCGGCACTGGCGGCAGGGCCGCCAGTGCCCAGCCAATGTCAAGGGTGGCCTGGGGTACTTGCGGCATGCCAACACTCCTCACCGCGTGGGCACTCGCCCACGTCCCTGAAAGCGTAGCAGATCTTCTTAACTGCCTTTGCCACGGCCTTTGCCTTTACGGCGGTCCTTGCGCGAGCTGCCGCTGTTGGCCGATTCATCAGCCGCGGCGTCTATCTGTTCACTCGTCGGGTCCTCTGGGGCAACCAGTTCGTCGTCTGTGTCTTCTCGGGCAAAGCGTCCGTCTCCTGCCGTCGGCTGAGCCGGGGCAGCGGTCTGCCTGCTTCCTCAGGGCCCCGTAGACCCGGACGCGCTACACCCGGACACCCAACGTCCCTCGAAAACAATTTTTCCAAACGGCGGAACTGACAAAATACTACACTGCAGCATTTCCAGAATAAACCCGGACACAGGCCCCAAAAGCCTGCAAGACACCCCTAAACCCGGACACGAACCCGAATCCTGCAGTGCAGCAAGCAAAACATGCACGGGCGCTGAAAAACGTGACTTTGCAGGGAAAGATGTCGTTTCCTTGGTTTTCCGTGTCCTGGTTTATCTGTGTCCTGGTCTCCGGGCGCCTGACTTCCGCCTCCGCCGGCTGGGCCGGTCGGCAATGCACCCCAACCCCGGCCCCGCTGATTGAGGGTCGATTCATGCTTGTCGATGTTATAATCTTCCTTCTCTCGCAACATAAGCATCTCAATCTGAGCTATGAGCCACTCGTACGTACGCATGCCCATGCCGGGCTTGTCTGAGGACATATCGTAAAACTGGCAAACCATGTTCAACTTCTCTGGTTTCCTGCACTGCTCAAGGAAATGGGCGCGGACCGAAGCCCGCATCTCGTCGGAAGGGGGTCGTGCGCCATAGAGCTGCTGGCGCACATCCACCCACTCATTGCAAACATGGTACAGATCAGCACCTGGGCGATTGGGATCTATGACGACCTTGAAGATATCACGCGAAATGCGATGCTGACCCAGCTCCGATCTTACTGAGCACCAATAGCATATGGCCCTTACAATTTCGCGCCCTGTCAGAAGTCTGTTTTCATTCTGGGCAGCGAACTCCACGCGCTGAATTTGGTGGACGAAATGATTGTGATGAACGGAAAGGTTGCGATGTCTACGTAGTTCCGTAAACTGCTCAATCAAGTTGGTGGCGATCATGGTGTCAAGACGCCGGAAGCGGCCCGGGTTTCGAAGATATTATTTGGGCACGGCGGGGCCCATAGCTTCCACAATCCAAAGATGCGCCTCCTGAATCTCCGGGGGCGATCCAGCCGCAGCACGGATGGTATGCATCTGCCACTCTCGGATGTTTGTAACATCTGGGATGCCCATCAAATCGATCTCTGCGTTGTTGCCACCCTGTCGCCACTGGTCCAACGGATCAGCGCTGCCAGGTTCTATTGGGCCGTTAGGCCCGCCCGATCCGTCTCCACCGCGCGGGGGCCCAGGTCGGCCTGGACCGTCTGCGTCGCCCGACGGCCTGGCCGCTGGCGCCCCGCCTCCACCAACGCCTGACGGCTGGGCCGCTGATGTCCTCCGCGGCGGGTCTTGGGTGAAATGGTGAAAATGGGCAAGGTTCAAGTCGTCGACCACGTCATAAAGCTCGGCGTGGAAAGGTACGTTGTTGCCTGACACACCCGGCTGGCACGGTTTCTCCAACGCGGGTCCTGTCACGGTGAAATCTGGATTCAACGGCGGCTTAGAAGTGACTGATTGAGACCGAGACTGCATGCAAAGGTCCTTTTGGTTGAGGGACTCAGCGATGGCCGCTTTTAGGGCTAGCACCTCTCTGTCAGATGCAGCTTTGTCAGCGGCCATTGCAGCCGAGGCCACCTCCGTCGCAAGAATGTCGGCTGCTGATGTCTCAGAGCTTCGACGGAGCTGGTCTTTGGCCTGCTCTACTAACCTTTATCATGACAGCTTTCTCGGCATGAATATCGTCGAGAAGCTTTTGTTGCTGGGCCAAAAGATAGGGATCTCTGAGAGAGCGTGGCCCACCGCCGTCTTACTATGGAAAATTGCCAACCTTGTCCTCAGGAACCCGCCCCCCCCCACCCCCCCCCCCCATCGAAAATCCACCCCCCCCTGCTGGACCCCCCCCTCCCCCACCCCACCCCTTCCCCCCCGGCAAAACCCCCCCATCCCCTGACCCCTCCCCCCCCCCCCCCCCCCCCCTCCCCCTCGAAAAACCGAGGGGGGCCCTACCGGTGCGATCGAACCCCCTCCCCCCCCCCTTAGGATCCGGAAAAACCGCGGGGGGGTCACTACGGTTGAAACCCCCCCCCCCCTCTCGAAAACCGGAGGGGCGCCCACTGCCGGTTCGACCCCCCCCCCCCCACACACCCCCACGCACCGCCAGCAAACGACTCCCGGTCCCCTACCACCGCTCGCATCACATCCCCCACTGTTGTTCCGAGCACCACTGTCCTCACCACCGCTGTCCCCGCTGGTTCCACCACCGCCCCTATTGTCTACACCAGTGCCCCCACCACTGTCGCACTGTCCCTACTGTTCCCACCACTGTTCCCACCGCGGTTCCACTCTCCCCACTGTCTCCACGGGCCCAACCACTGTCTATCCCCACTGCCCCCACTGTCCCACTGACTCGCTGCTGTCCCACTGAGCTGTCCCACTGTTCCCACCACCGTCCCCGCTGTCCCCACCGCTGCCCCCGCTGTACCTGTCCCATTGTCCCACCGCCGTCCTCGCCACCGCCTTTACCACTGTCCCCACCACCATTGTACCCTCCACTATCCCACTGTTTCCACCTCATTCCCACTATCCTCACCACCGCTGTCCGCCACCACCACCCCCACCACTGTCCACTCCCCCCTGTTCCCACCATTGCCCCCACCACTGGTCCCCACCACTACCGTCCCCACCACTGTCCCACTGTCCCACTGTTCCCACCGCTGCCCCGCTGCCCCCTCACCACTGCCCCCGCCAACGCCGGCCCCACCACTGTCCGCGCCCCCACTCGGTTTTTCGATGGGGGGGGGGGTTCGAACCGGTAGTGACCCCCCCCCTTTTCATGATGGGGGGGGGGGGGGGGGAGGGGTTCGAACCGGCAGCGGCCCCCCTCGTTTTTCCGGAGGGCGAGGGGGGGGAAGGGTTCGAACCGACAGTGGCCCCCCCCGGTTTTCCGCCAGCAGCGGTAGAACACGCTCTTTCGGATCTCTGCTGTCGCGCTTCCACTGCTCATCCCAAGCTGCCTCAGCCTCTGGCAAATTCAGCATTTTAGAACAAGCAGTACATCGCTTCGTGCCTATGTCGAAATGCTCTTTGCAGCTGGGAGAACCACAAGTCACGCAAAATCCAATCTTTGGCTTAGTGCAGATCTAGCAGCTCTCGGCAGGGCCCCCTCGAATGGGCTGAGGTTGTGGAAAAGCCTCAACATGCAAGGGACAATCAAAAGTCGATTGCGGAGGCGGCTGGACAGCTGCCGGCTTGGCCGGCGCCGGCGCCTTGAGAGGCGGGGCCAAGGGCGGCCCCCCCTTGGGAGGGGCCAAACTAGACCACGCCTGGTAATTGGCACCTGGCGGCTTGGCCACCGGTGGCTGCTGCCCCTGCATCCCTGCCGGCTGAGCCGGTGGGCCCGCAGCCTGGAGTGCGGGTTGCTGCTCAGCCTCTTTCGCTATCTCCGCTGTTCTAACCTCCGCCTGCACCGCAAGCTGCTTGGCAGCTGCGGCCTTCTCGGGGAACTGAGCCTCGAATTGCTGGTCACGCTGCTGGGCGGCCCGGGCAGTCGCGATCTTCTCGGCCTCGGCCTTGGACCGAAGGGCGATAGCAAGTTTCTGGGCGCCTGACTCGGAGAGTTTCTTCTGAGCTTCTTCAACAAAAGCGCCCATCCGAGCTCGATCGAACCTGGCGTGCTCATCTCTCTGGGCCGTCTCAGCTTTGGCTTGCTCTTGCATGGCCTGGATCAAAAGATACTGGCAGTTATGTTCGCCCATACTGATGCGGTCACGACAAAGCAAACTGACGCTGCATGTGGGACACACCTCCGAGCATTGCCCGCAGACGGGGCGTTTGCAGGGCCCCCCCGTTTTGCGGGCCTTCCCCGGGCATTTGTTTTCAGCTCGAAGCGGGCACATTGGGCCCGGATCCCAACAAGAATCACGCATGGAAATCGCGCTGACACTTCGCGACGACCCCGAACCTGATCGAGCTCCAGACCTATGGATCCGAGGTCTGTCTCGACCCGAGGCTGGAGATCGCGCCTCTTTGGGCCTCAAGTGAGCAGTACTTGGCGGCTGAGGTGGCTCAGACGGCTTAGCCGCTGGCTCGTCGTGTTCATCACGCTCAACCAACTGGCGAAATGATGCCGTGGGGTTTTCGGGCATCGTCCACCTCCGCTGCCTCAGGGATCGTAGGCTGCCAGTCGGTTGGACCGATGAAACGCCTGAAGAATCCCTCTTCAAGAAGACTGTGCTTCAAGTCTTCTTCCTCACTCTCGTGTTTCTTAATCTGCGGAACTGGCGCGCGGCCTAAGGCTTCCGTAACATGCCTAGACGGCGGAAGAAACCTAGACGAGGGCTCCTCCGACTTGGTCGGGGCCCCGTCTGTCGGAAGAAATGGTGGGCTAACCTCAAGCGGGATCTCAGCTTGCCCCGGATTCTCGCCCGGGGGCTCTGAGGCACCTTCGACCGCGCCGACTGGGTCGGGGGCCGTCGGTCCTTGCCACGAGAGGGGAACATGATCTGACGAGGGCGGCTGCCCACCCTCCGGCTCCAATAAGGCATCTCCGAGGTCAGCGTGTTCTTGGCAATCGACTGTTTCTGCCTCGGATCGCTCACCGTCTGGGACGGGGCAATCGATAAGGTCCTGGAGTGGGAGCTCTGGGTCAGCCCGACCTGGAGACGCATGGAAATCAGCAAGCTCGAAGTTGCCTTCATACGAATTCGCCTCTTCTTCGTCTCCTAAATGCCCGTCACTGTCGTGACCGTCTTGCCCGTCCAAAGCAATTGGAACGATCTGAGTGCCCTGGGGTTCGTCCCAATCGTCTGGGACGATGGGAGTCTCCCCGGGTTGCTCGTCCTCGTCGTGGGCTCGACTGGCCGGGCCAGCGATCCTCGGGCTCCACTGGCCGGGCTGCGTGGGGCTGCGCCAGGATGCAAAGGCTCTGCGCCTGACAGCGCCGGCTTGGCCGGTCTGTCTCACGGGGGGCTGGGCCCGATCCTCCAGTAACGAACGTCCTGGGGCATCGTCACGAGACAAATCAATCGTAGGAGCCTTGTCCCTCAGGATTCGCGGGCTCTCCGGCACTAAATGTGAGGAATACCAACTCGACAATGGCCTCCGTCTCGCAGCGACGGCTTAGCCGGTCTGCCTCCCGGGTGTCTGATCCCTCTCCTCTAACTCCTTATTTTCTGGGGAATCGTCGAGATACATATCAATCTGGGGAACACTCGAGAGGTTGAGAAGAGAAGGGCGGCCCCTCAGGCCGCGTCATTTCCGAAATTACTCAACACGATGGTATGATTGCGAGGTGTCGAACAAATATACTGCCTGAACCTGGCTCATCGAACCCAAAACGACTTGGTCATTGGCTTCGGCTGATAACCAATCGTTCCTTTGGGAATCGTGGCTAAATGTAAAAGGAACATGGGTCTCATGATCTTCAATAGTTAAGCCTGGGGAATCACTATGTGTGGTCGTAGATCTTTCCTGGGGAAGCTCAGGGAGAAAACTACTGGGGAAAGCCATGGCTTTGGCAGCAATGGAGTCCGTTAAGCAGTATGTGCTTACGTGCGCACGCGCCGGGCAGGCAGGCCGAATGGCGAGGGGAGGCGCGCGCGCGGAGATCTTTTCTCCACTTGACTCACAAAGGTAGCTGCGGACAGTACAGATGCATGCATCATCGATAGATCCACGATGGCTTTGGCAATGAAGTGTACAAATACACACTACAAGGATTGTGCGGCGGCGGCAGCGGCAAAAGAGAGGATGCGGAGAGGCGCATATTAACTAAATCGCAAGCAAGAGCGCAATTCCTGAATCAAATGTGAATGGCTCCCTGGCGGGAGCGGGGGTCTTGATTAAATTACGCAAAATCTTGATTCAACTGCGAGGCAGTCTCAAGCAGGAGCGCCGTTCCTGAGTAAATTGTGAGGAAGTCTCAGATGGGAGCGAGGGCCCTGACTAAATTGCCAGGAGGTCACAGGCGGGAGCACCGATCCTGCGTAAATTGCAAGGAAATCTTAGGAGCGGGAGTCCTGAGGAAGTTCGGAGGAAATCTCAAGCGGGAGCCGTTGTTGTTGTTGGGGGGGCCAGGGGCCCAGTTTGAGCACGAAGACTTTCCCTGTTAAAAAACAGGGTGCGAGCGTCGAGGGCACACTTTGATTGAGAAAAAGCAGCATGCACCAGTGATGGGGGGACAACAGTAAATAGTCTTCAGGAATGAGAATTCAACAGCAACGCCAACAACGCAACAAGCATAATCCTCACCACGGATTCTCACTTCAGCCACGCACCCAGGGACAATGAATGACCGTTCGGCCCCCTCACTCTGACATATCACTATACATGTACACATCTGCAAATCGATACACGTACGTCACATACACAGATCTGTATGGGGAGCGAGGGGGAGAGAGAGAGAGAGAGAGAGAGAACAAACTATGTACAATAATGATAACAAAAGGGACAGAGACAGAGACAGAGAAGAGACAGAGACCGACACAAAATAGAGATATATATATATATATAGAGAGAGAGAGAGTGAGAGATAGAAAGAGAGAGAGAGAGAGAGCGAGTTAGAGAGAGGGACAAGGAAACCATTGCACGATGGCTTGAGGCAACTCTTTTTTCGACTCTACGCTCTGGGCAGGGAAGAGGAGGACGAAGAGGAGACCGAGCGGGTGTGGCGATGCCCCGGTACCGGCGCCAGGCCCCGCGCGCGCGCCCGGGGCAGACAGTTGCGCCAAGGAGAGGGGACGGCTGGAAGCGGATGCGGACGACGACGATGGCGACGGCGGTGAAGATGACGACGGAGGCCAAGATGACGACAACGACAATAAACATGACGACGCCGAAAGCCACAAACAAGAAGACGTCAGCCTCTGACATGGCCGGAGAGCTTTCCAAGATGCCCAATATAGCCTCGCAACGCCTCCGAAGGTCCCCCACACGCCTCAATGAAGCTCCAAGAGGGGCCTCCAAGAGTGCCCCAAGAGGCAAAACTCATTGATTGCCCTAAGGTCTTTGAAGGATTTCGACGTTCGCGACTGTCGGCTTCTTGACGCTCCAAGACGGCCCTCGAGGACCTCAAGGTCGCCCCAAGACGGCCCCAGAGGCCCCCAAGAAGGCCCTGAGACGGGCCAAGAGGACCCCAAGACGGCCCAAGAGACGCCAAGGGGGCCGGACAACGGCCCCAAGAAGGGGCCCAGATGGGGATCTCGAGCGGACATTTCGAGCCCTCGGCCTGGAGGGGCCCCCAAGAGGCCCCAAGAGGCCACGATGGCACAATAAGCCCCAGGCATCGCTGAAGGAGGGCCCCGAGACCCTAAGATACAGAGCAGATTCACCGCAGGGGAGCCCAAGAGGGTCTTACCAGCACGCAAGTCCACAAACCAGGCACGGTGGCGGGATGACCCGAAGGCCAATGATAAGTTGATCTAGTAAATTGACTGTGTGCGGGGTGGAGGAGTTGTTGGAAGGAGGCGCGATGCCACATGGATCTACGCTTGCATCGTAAACCTCTGACTGGTGCCCCTCGTATAGAAACGTGGGCTGCCCACGAGCCAGACTAACGATTAGTCTGCTTTGCGGATGTGGCGTAACTGGCCAATTCCGCTCGTGCGCGCCACCCAGGTGCGTGCAGCCGTTTGGTCGCTGTTTCGGCGCGCTGATGGGGAACCATCGCACCCAACCTGTCTCGGCGACGGTCCATTCTCTGAATCTCAATTACCTGCTCCTCTCCGTGATCGTCGTCCTTGCTGTCGTTCTGTACATACTTGTTCTGCAATGTCCGTTCGTCGTCGTAAGGCGCACGCTCGATGTGTGATGGGGGTGAGACGACTCCTCCCTCCGCCGTGCAACGAAGGGAGGAGATTGAGGATAAGGACGAAGACAGACAGAGAGAGAAAAAGAAAGAGCCAGGGATATAGGGGGTAATAAAGACAGGGGCAGAGGACGAGGCCAAAAGAAAGGAGGGGCTGGACAAACGAAATACCATCTCCTCCTCCCCCTTTCCCCTTCCTCCTCGGGATGGGAAGGAGGAAATGTAGTGGGGATGCGATGGCTTCCAGGCATCGGTAGACGAGGGGCGAGAGCAGCAGGAGGCCAAGGGCTCAATAGGAGTCGATTTCCTGTGCGATGGCCTCCTTCGTCGACTCCAGCAAAGACTTCACGTGAGGAAGCATGTCAATGAGGGCGCCCGCATTCGCGTTCGTGGAGGCGATCATGCGGATGACCAGCGGCAAGTGGTTGGCCTGTAGGCACATGCAGCTGTCGTACATTGTCATGATGAAATTCGCCTGCCCGAGCTTGTAGCCGCATTCTTGGACTGCCCTTGGAACCTGGAATCCCTTCGTGGAGGCAAGTCTGGGGCGCACCCCACACCACAAACCACTCGCCGCGCAGCACACACGCACCACACGCTTAGACGCACATGTACACGCACAAACATACTTTTCCTCCGACGCGCCGCTGACTCCGAAGGACGGGTGCATGGCAAGGGGACGCGTTTACCCAGAACTAGCTTCCTTGCGAAGCGGCGCGGTAAGTCTACGGGCCAGGAGAGCGCACGCAGGCGCCACCAGGACAACAAAACTGGGCGGCGCAAGGCACGGCAGGGTGAGCTGAAAGCGCAGGCCCAAACGCCGGCACAACCGAGGAGAGAGGCGGAGGAGGAGCGGGGGGCCACCGCGACGTCGCCAGGCGTGGACGCGGCCGTGGCGCGAACTGGGCGACAGCCAGCCAAAAGGTAGGCCAAGCCGAGGGAGGGCGCACAGGGAAGCGGCAGAAGCCGAACTCGTCAGGGCGGCAGAGGCCGAGACAAGAAAGGCGGCAGAGACTGGAAGGGAGGAAGACGTGGCTGGGAGGCCCGGCGGCACCAACCGCGCTTAGCCCTGGGCTGTAAACCTCCATGGCATGGCAGACCAGGCCAAGTGAGGAAGCGCAGGCAGGCACGCATCCGGAAAGCGATGCTGAGGAGAGAAGCAGGAAAGGCTGGGCAAATGTTCCACAAGCGCTGCCATAGGTAGAACAGGGGAGGAAGGAGGATGGGAAGGTCCTCCTCCTCCTCCTGCTCATTCTCCTCCTCCTCCTCCTCCTCCTCCTCCTCCCTCCTCCTCCTCCTCCTCCTCCTCCTCCTCCTCCTCCCTCTCCTACCTATGGTAGCGGTTGTGGAAAATCAGCCCATAAGGAAAGGAAAAGGAGCTCGAAGGGAAGGCCGGGTGGCTGGGACGCCTGGCGACACCGGTCACGCCCGTCGGAGGTGGCAGACTGCAGCGGCCTCCAACAGAGGAAGAAAAAAACGGCATGAACATAGATCTTTGGAGGTCCGCGCGGAACTCTTGGATCCGCGCTGGGCTCCCCCCCTCCATGGCGCGCGGAGCACGCCAGGGGCGGCGTCGGAGGCACCGACAGGAGCAGGGCCCCAGCGCCGATCCAGGAACTCCCCGCGGAGCTCCGAAAGCCTATGTTTGCGCGAAGCTCTTCCCTGCATCGCTGCACGGCGCCATTGGCGGCGGGGCCGAGCTGCGCTGCCCAGGCCAGGCTGGCCGTCCGGGGTGCTGGCGCCTCGGGTGCGCCTCGGACGGTGGGGCGCGAGGCCGCCGAGCGGAGGGGGCCCGCCGCGAAGGGGAGCGAGCCCGACCAGGGCGCCAGCACGCGCACGCGCACGCGCACGCCGGGAGAGCGTGACGGAGGCACCAACCCAGACAGACTCTGATGGGCGTGTTTTCCACCACCACCACCACCATAAGTTGGAGGGGGGGGATCCTCCTCCTCCTCCTCCTGCTCGTCCTCCTCCTCCTCCTGCTCCTCCTCCTCCTCCGCCTCCTCCTCCTCCTCCTCCTCCTCTTCCTTCCCCCCTCCAGTTTATGGTGGTGGTGGTGGTGGTGGAAAACAAGTTCATCGGACTCGCGTCGTGGAAAAAGCATGGCGAGGTGTTTCACCGTGTTCGGCCTCCAGGGGGGGCCCGTACCAGGCCCCGGGACCGCGGAAAACGGTACCCGGGGAATGGGCCGAAACTTCCGGGGAACTTCGCATTGACAAAATATTGAGGCATCGGATCTCTGGGGAGATGCCAAGGCCCACGGCCAGGTCATGCCGCTCGTCGCGGCCCAGGAACACCAAGTCCTCCTCTCCTGGGTTCCCTGCCCAGCCCGCCTGCCACACTCGCGCCCACAACTCCGCGCGGTCATGGAGAGGCATATGCCGCCGCGGCGTTTGCTCTCGACGCGCCAGAGCGGACGACACCGATACCACGGCAGGCACGCGGCAAAACCTGCGTCCCGCGCCCCAAGTAAGCGAAGCCGGCACTGCAGCAACCCCCACGGCAGGCCCTGCGCCTGAGGCGGCGTTTGCCGGCCGAGGCGCCCCCCCCAAGACGTAAAGCCGCGCGTCAGAGCAAACGGCACGGCGACGTATGGCGTTTCGGCAGCGTGAGCTCCCCATACCGCCACAGCCTCGTCAGGGCCCGTTTTTGCGGCACGTCGGACAAGCTCACGCCAGAGAGGGCCGACGCCGCCCAGCCTATTCTGCAAGCCGCCCGAAGCACCCCTTCAGAACAAGACCCCCCTTGTCACAAACGCACAGACGACTCACACATGCATACACACAGGCTCTCTTTCTCTCTCTCTCTCTCTCTCTCTCTCCCTCTTATAATCATTATCATTATCCTCCTTCCTCGCCTTATCAGTCCCTGTCTCTTTCTAACTATCCCTGTGTCTCTCTCTCTCTCTCTCTCTTGTTTCCTCTTTCTCTCTCTCTCTCTCTCTCTCTTTCTCTCTTTCTCTCTCCCCTCCCATACAGCATCGGACGCCCAAATCCGCTCGCCATAGCTGCCCGCAGTATCGCCGTTTTCCGCACATCTCGTTCGGGTTAGCATGCGCGAGTAATTCATCAATACCATATACATCAACATCGCACTGGGTCGTCCAAATATGTGCCGCAAAATGTGAACAGCACGACTTGACTGCATTATCCAGGAAGTTGCGCTAATAACGACTTCCACACACACACACACACACACAGGAAATTCACTGATGTGCAACTGGCGAAAAAATCACCTCTTGTATCTTGGAGGTCTGCTCAGTCGTAAGCGAGAAGATCGTGGTCAAGATCTGCTCAGAATTCTGATCGTCGATGACAGACTCTGGAGCACGTAGGACCACGACGCCATCACGGTCCGTCACCGTAATGGATCGCAAGCCTCAGGGAGAGCGAAAAGCTGCGACTGAGAAGCACACGCCTGACCTGGAACGTGAGAAGAACAATTCTGTTCCAGCACAGACAGGAGCATAGGCGGGAGGAAGGTGGATGACAGGGACATGGCTGGTCCACCAAGGGGTCGAACATCATATTAAGGATCCGCAGCGCTAATATGATACGAACTTGGCGTGACGATGGTGATGATGATGAAGATGAGGGTGGCGCTGATGATGCCATTGATGTCGGTGGTCATGATGACGGTGGTCATGACGACGATGGTCACGATGTCGGTGGTCATGATGGCGACTACGATGGCGGTGATGACGCCGACTAGATTTTCCGCTCGCAAGTGTCGCGGCGCCAGCTGCCGCGACGCCGCCTTGGCCTCAGAAGGCGCGCCAGAGGCAGCGTCGCGGGCACGCCAGATGCAGCGACTCGGCCACGCCAGAGGCAGTGTCTCGGGCAACCATCTCCCAGCGAAGGTCTTCCCAAGGGTTGCTCTTATTCTGCCCGCTTCCTGAGGGCGGTGAATTGTCGGGGCACGCCAGAGGCAGCGCACTCTGGCCGCTTCCTGAGGCCGTTTCCTGAGGGCGGTCAGTTGGCGGGCGCCCTTCGGCCGCTTCAGGCCGCTTCCTGAGGCCACTTCGTGTTGGGGCGCGCTCGCCACGGCGGGGCGCGCCAGGAGCAGCGCCTGCCCCATGGCGGGGCGCGCCCTTGGCGGGAGGCGCTAGTCCTGCCGCGCCCAGTTCGCCCATGCGACGAGCATGCCTTTGTTGTCGGCCTTCTCGCGCCAGGCGAATTCGTCGGAGTGTCTGTCGAGGAAGTCCTTCAGCCCCCCAGGCGCCAAAAGCTCGTTGAACGTCTCGAACGCGCGCTCGTCGCGCCAGCACAACTTGTCGCGGGCAATCCGCGACGGATCGAACTCACCGCCGTGCGCTTTGAGAACGTTGCGGGCTAGTTCAACCAAGCGCGCGTAAGCGTCAGGCGCGTTAGCCTCCGAGCCCGCACCCTGGAGGCGCGCAGGGGTGCGCGCTGGCAGCGCGTGCCCGCCAGGGGCAGGGTCGGCGGCGGCGCCGGGCATATTGGCCACGAGCTCGTCGGGCGGCACCTTCCAGTGCTTCGGTCGGAACACAAACTGGCCTGGGTTTTCGCTGACGAGCGAAGCGACGGCTCGGAGGCAAGCGAGTTCCGACGCTTCCTCTTTCGTCGCGCTTTCCCCTATCGCAACGAGCCGACGGCCATCTCCTGGCGCAAAGCTGTTCGGCAAAGTCAGGGTGCACCGCCAGCCCGCGCCAGGGGCAGCGCATCCCTTGGACTTGCTGACGGCTGGGACCAAAGCGCCTCCGTGCGCTTGAGGGCGCGTCGAGGCATGGTTATCAGCACGGTGCGCCAAGTGATCTTCTTGTCGCTGACGCGTTGCTCCAGCAGGTACTCTTCGACCGCTTCGACGCGCGCGGTCTCGAAGTTCGGCCATTGCGCCGCCATGGAGACCGCGCAACGCGCGACGCGCCAGAGGCAGCGGCTTCGCGCACGGCGGAATAGGGCGAAATGAGTGCGCGAGTGGCGAAGCGAGGAGCACTCAGTAGCAACGGGCTCGGCCGAAATGCGACGGAAAGCTGCGGCGAGGTCCTGATGGATTTTCGGAGTGATCTTGTTTCTCATGACTTCTCTTGAGGTGGTTCATCCCGATGCCAATGACGTCGATGCTTATGACGACGACGACCAAGAGACAACTAAGCACGACCCTGGTCGCGTTTAGTTTTCCCCTGGTCGCGTTTAGTTTTCTCCTGGTCGCGCTTAGTTTTTCCCTGGTCGCGAGGGGGGGGAGGAGGAGAACAGGAGGGGGAGGACGACGACGCCGAGAGGGGCGACGACGACGACGACGACGACGACGGCCCAGGTGGCGACCTGGAGCGGCGGCGCACTCCTCCCCCTCCCCACGACCAGGGAAAAACTAAGCACGACAAGGAGAAAACTAAACACAACCAAAAGAAAACGAAACACGACCAGAGAAAAAAACAACACGACCAGGGAAAAGCGAAACGCGACCAGAGAAAATTAAATACGACCGCGGAGAAAACTAAACACGACCAGAGGAACCGAAACGCGACCAGGGGGAAACTGAACACGACAACAGGAAAACAAAACACGACCAGGGGAGAACTAAACACGACCAGGAGAAAACTAAACCCGACCAGGGAAAAACTAGACCCGACCAGGGAAAAACTAGACCCGACCAAAGGAAAAACTAGACCCGACCAGGGAAAAACTAAACCCGACCATCGGAAAAACTAGACCCGACCAGGGGAAAACTAGATCCGACCAAGAAACAACTAAACCCGACCAGGGGAAACTTGAAACCGACACGAGAAGAACTAAACCCAACCACAAGAAAAAAATAAACCCGACCCGGGAAACACTAGACCTGACCAAAAAAAATAAACCCGACCAAAGGGAAAACGGAAAACTAGCCCCGACCAGGGAAAACTCAGACCCGACCAGGGAAAAACTAGACCCGACCAAAGGAAAAAACTAAACCAGACCAGGGGAGAACTAGACCCGACCAGGGGAAAACTAGACCCGACCAGAAAAAAACAACTAGACCCGACCAAAGGAAAAACTAAACCAGACCAAGGGAAAACTAGACCCGACCACAGGAAAAACTAGACCGGGCCAAAGGAAAAACTAGACCCGACCAGGGGAAAACTAATCCCGACCAGAGGAAAACTCGACCCGACCAAAGAAAAACTAGACCCGACCAAAAGAAAAACTAGACCCGACCAAAAGAAAACTAGACCCGACCAGAAGAAAACTAGACACGACCAAAGGAAAAACTTCACCCGACCACAAGGAAAAACTAAACCCGACCAGGGGGAAACTAGACCCGACCATGGAAACACTAGACCCGGCCAAAGGACAACTAAACCCGACCAAAGGAAAAACTAATCCCGACCAGAGGAAAACTAACCCCGATCAGGCAAAACATAAACCAGACCAAAGAAAAAAACTAATCCCGACCAAAGGAAAAACTAAACGCGTCCAGGGGAAAACTAGACCCGACTAGAGGAAAACTAGACCCGACCAAGGAAAAACTAGACCCGGCCAAACGAAAAACTAAACCCGACCAAGGGAAAACTGAACCCGACAAAGGAGAAACCAAACCCGACCAAGGGAACAACTAAACCCGACCAAAGGGAAAACTAAACCCGACCAGGGGACAACTAGACCCTACCAAAAGGAGACACAACCCGACCAAAGGAAGAACTAAACCCGACCGGGGGAAAACTAGACCCGACCAAAGGAAAACTAGACCCGACCAAAAAAAAATAAACCCGACCAAAAGAATAAACTAGACCCGACCAAAGGAAAACTAGACCCGACCAAAGGAGAACTCGGCCCGACCAAGAACAAACTACACCCGACCAAAGGAAAAACTAGAACCGACCAAGGGAAAACTGAACCCGACCAGGGAAAAACTACACCCTACCAAAGAAAAACTAGACCCGACCAAAGGGGAAACTAGACCCGACCAAAGGAAAACTAACCCCGACCAGGGAAAAACTAGACCCTAACCCCGACCAGAGAAAAACTAGACCCGACCAAGGAAACCCGACCAGAGAAAAAAACTACACCCGGCCAAAGGAAAAACTAGACCCGACCAAGGGGAAACTAGACCCGACCAAAGGAAAACTAGACCGGACCAAAGGAAAACTAGACCCGACCAAAGGAAAAACTAAACCCGACCAGGGGAAAACTAAACCCGACCAGAGAAAAACTAAACCCGACCAAGGAAAAACTAGACCCGACCAGGGGAAAAAACTAGACCCGACCATGGAAAAACTAAACCCGACCAAAGGAAAAACTGAACCCGGCCAAAGGAAAAACTAAACCCGACCAATGGAAAACCATAGCCGACCAGAAGAGAATTAAACCCGACCAAGAAAAAACTAAACCCGACCAAACGGAAAACTAGACCCGACCAGGGAAAAACTAAACCCGACCAGAGAAGAAATAGACCCGACCAAAGGAAACACTAAACCCGACCATAGGAACAACTGAACCCGACCAAAGGAAAAACTAAACCCGACCAAGGAAAAACTAAACCCGACCAGAGGAATAACTAGACCCGACCAAAGAAAAACTAGACCCGACCAGAGGAAAACTAAACCCGACCAAGGAAAACACTAGACCCGACCGCAAGAAAAACTATACCCGACCAAAAGAAAACTAAACTTGACCGAGGGAAAACGAGACCCGACCAGGCAAAAACTAAACCCGACCAAAAGAAAAACTAGACCCGACCAAAGGAAAAACTACACCCGACCAGGAGGAAAAACTAACCCCGACCAGGGAACAACTAGACCCGACCAAAGGAAAAAACTACACCCGACCAAAAGAAAAAACTAAACCCGACCACTAGAAAACTAAACCCGACCAGGGAAAAACTAGACCCGACCAAAGGAAAAAATACACACGACCAAAAGAAAAACTAAACCCGACCAGGGGAAAACTAGACCCGACCACGGATAAACTAAACCCGACCAGGGGGAAACTAAACCCGACCAAACGAAAACTAAACCCGACCAAAGGAAAACTAGACCCGACCAGAGGAAAACTAAACCCGACCAAAGGAAAAACTAGACCCGACAAGAGGGAAACTAGTCCCGACCAAAGGAAAACTAGACCCGACCAGAGAAAAACTAAACCCGACCACAGGAAGCACTAAACCCGACCAGGGGGAAACTAGGCCCGACCAGAGGAAAACTAGACCCGACCAGAGGAAAAACTAGACCCGACCAAAAGAAAAAACTACACCCGACCAGAGGAAAACTGAACCCGACCAGGGAAAAACTAAACCCGACAAGAGAAAAACTAGACCCGACCAAATGAAAAACTCGTCCCGACAAAAGGAAAACTCGACCCGACCATGGGAACACTAAACCCAACCAGAGAAAAACTAAGCCCGACCACAGGGAAACCTAGACCCGACCAAGTGAAAACTAGACCCGACCAAAGGAAGAACTAAACCCGACCAGGGGATAACGACACCCGACCAAGGAAAAACTAGACCCGACCAAAAGGAAAAACTAGACCCGACCAAAAATAAAAAATTGACCCGACCAGGGGACAACTAAACCCGACCAAAGGAAAACTAGACCCGGCCCAAAGGAAAAACTAAACCCGACCAGTGGAAAACTAAACCCGACCAGAGAAAAACTGAACCCGACCAAAGAAACACTAGACCCGACCAAGGGAAAAACTAAACCCGGCCATGGGAAGACTAGACCCGACCAGAGGAGAACTAGACCCGACCACGGAAAAACTAAACCCGACCAAACGAAAAATTAAGCCCGACCAAAGGAATAACTAAACCCAACCAAGGAAAAACTAGACCCGACCAGAGGAAGAACTAGACCCGACCGCCGGGGAAATTATACCCTACTAAAATCGAAAAACAACTCCCGACCAAGGAAAAACTGGGCCCGACCAAAAGAGAAACTAGACCCGACCAGGGGGCAACTAGGCCCGACCAAGAGAAAACTAAAGCCGACCAAAGGAAAAAGTACACCCGACAAGTGGAACAAAAACTAAACCCGACCAGGGGAAAACTAGAGCCGACCACGGACAAACTAGACCCGGCCAGAGAAAAACTAAACCCGACCAAAAGAATAAATCAACCATACCAAAGGAAAACTGGACACGACCAAAGAAAAAACTAGACCCGAGCACAAAAAAAAAAAACTACACCCGACCATGGGAAAACTAGACCCGACCAAAGGAAAACTAGACCCGACCAAGGGGAAACTAGACCCGACCAGTGGAATAACTAGACCCGACCAGAAGAAAAACTAGACCCGACCAGAGGAAAACTAAACCCGACCAAGGGAAAAAGTACACCCGACCAGAGAAAAACTAAACCAAGCCAAAGGGAAAACTAAACCCGACCAAAGGAAGACTAAACCCGACCAAGGAAAACTAGACCCGACCAAAGAAAAACTAAACCCCACCGGGAAACAACAAAAAAACTACACCCGACAAAGGGAAAACTAAACCCGACCAAGGAACAACTAAACCCAACCAAAGACAAACTAGACCCGACCAAAGGAAAACTAGACCCGACCAGGTGCAAACTAGACACGACCAAGGAAAAACAAGAACAAAAATAATAAGAAGAAAGAAAAAAAAGAGGAAAAACATGAGAGCAAACAAAAGACAAAAAAAAACGACCAGAGGAAAAACTAGACCCGACCAGAAGAAAAACTAAACCCGACCAAGGGAAAACTGAACCCGACCAGGGAACAAACTAGACCCGACCAAAGAGAAACTACGCCGACCAAACGGAAAACTAGACCCGACCAAGGGAAAAACTAGACCCGACCAGGGGAAAATTAGGCTGCCCCCCAACGCTGCTGCTTCTGCTGCTTCTGCTCGCGGTGCTGCGGCTGCTGCTTCTCCTCTTCTTGCTTCTCCCGCTTCTTCTCCTGCTGATGCTGCTGCTCGCCCTCCTCCTGCTGAGGCTGCTCCTCAACGTTGCTGCTGCTTGTGCTGCCGCTGCTCGTTTTGGTGCTGCTGCTGCCCCAACCCCCCCCTCCTCCTGCCCCCCCCCCCCCCCGCGCCCGTCGCATTTGCAGGCTCGAGCCGGGGAGACGCGACCGCGGTGCGTTTGCCATGATGAGTCACCGCGGCGGCCAGCAGCAGAACGACGCCTCTGGCGCGGATTCTGTTGAGAAGAACTTCGACGCGGTGTCGGCACACGAGTCCTGGGGGACCTGGCGGGTTGGAAATCCCATCCGAGCTGGCGGCGGGGTCACTTTCGCGCTGGCTCCTCGGCCAGGGCCGGGCGGCCAGAGACCGCGGCGCGCGCGCAACGATATCGACTTTGACAGGGTTGTCCAGGAACGGTGGCCGCCGCCGCCCCTCGCGCCTACTGCAGAGGTGCCCCGAGCGCCTGGAGGCATCAATGGCAAGGCGGCGTTGCCCAAGCACTCCGCTGCCTCTGGCGCGGCTGTGGAAAAACTAAACCCGACCAGGGAAAAACTAAGGGCCCGACCAGGGGGAAACTACACCCGACCAAGGAAAAACTAGACCCGACCAGAGAAAAACTAGACCCGACCATGGTCAGAGCCTCTGTCAAGCAAGCCCCAGGCCTGTTAGGCTCAAGCCGCTGGGCGACCTCGACGTCGACCGCCAAGGCGGGGATAGGCACGTCGAAGGAGAAGCGCCGCGAGGGCGCGTGCTCGGAGGAGAGGGAGTGCGCCTCCTCCGACCGCACGCCCATGGCACCCTCGAGCTGGCTTACGGTGACGTCGTCGATGTCCGATCACATCGGGTCCAACATCCACACCGCCCCCGCTGCTTGGCACTCCTTGGTGCGGGGGAAGCTCGCAGCCGGGCTGTCGTAGTCCATGACCTCGCGAAACGAACTGAGGTTTGCGCCAGAGGCAGCATCAGTGATGGCCAACGGCGGAATCAAAGAACACTTGGCGGGCACCGCGAAGGACGCCTCGGCTGCCCCAGGAAGCTGACCAAACTATGGTCGACGTGGTGCTTCACTTGGCGCACCCACTCCTTGACGTGACCCTGCTGCATCGACGCGTGGTCTGTCTCGAGGAGCTGCGCGATGCACAGGGCCGGCGGCGCGCCAGAGGCAGCGGCGGGCTGCGCGCCAGAGGCAGCGGCGGGCGGCGCGCCAGAGGCAGCGGCTGGTGAGGCCGCCGCGGCCGCCGCCTACTTCGCAGGCGACGGGGTCCCTGCGTCACCCGCCCTCTTGCCAATGGCGGCCGCTGGTGGTTGGGGGGGAGCGCGAAAAGCAAAAGCGAGCTACTCGCGTCCGAGAGCCGAAACCGCTGTGGATGATGATGATGGTGATGATGATAATGGTGACGATGATGATGATGAAAATGATGGTGATGACGATGATGGCGGTGGTGATCATGAGGATGGTGATGACGATGATGACAACTGCTGGCTGCGTGATGACGGTGATGATGATGCTAACGACGGTGAGGATGATGATGTTAGCGACGCTGCAAATCCTTAATATGATGCCCCCCCGTGGTGGACCAGTCAGGGACGGAAGCAGAGAAACAATTAGCTAGAGCTGAGAAGTATCGCGGACACAGATGCTGTCTTGATAGAGGCGGGCACGCAGAAAGAAGAAGAGAGTCTCAGAGGGGTGTGCTGCTATGGTGTGGGATTGGGTGGGGGGGACAAAGAGAGTCCCAGAGAAATCTAGAAAACTGGCTCTGTGTCAAGAGAACTGTTCGTGCGTGCGCGGGTAAAATCAAGGATAACACATCGAACTGTATTAGCACGTCGTCTGGAGAATCCGTGAGCAAATGAATTCTGACCCATTTCTGTGGACAAAGACTGACTGTACGAAACGACTCGCCGCTATGCCACCATGATACAGAAGAACGTGTTATATTCGAGAAAATTAGACCCGCAACGAATGCCACCCGAACCGGCAATACCAATGGAAGACACGGGCGGTGCACTGTGCGTGCCGGAGACATGACATGCACTGCACATGCCGGAAACCCTGTGTCACATTATGACTGCTCCAGTGTGAGTTTGTCCATGCTGCGAGGGTCGCACCAATAAGCTGATACCCCCCCTAGCCGCTTAGCGTTCCCTCTAACACCGACCCACAAACCTGCTCCACCCCACCCGCGCCATCATCCCCCCCCCCTCTGTTCGCCACAGAGCCGCCGCCTCTTTGGCCGATCTCACCTCTAGACCGACTCCGGGCCACGCCCGCGCTCTCCGCCGAGCCGGCGGCCAGAGACGAGGCGGGGAACAAGAAGGTGAGGGCGGTGGTCGTTGAACAAGAGGCACAAGTCCGGAGCAGAGCAGCATGCACCACGACCACGACAATGCCGACGCCGACGCCGATGCCGACTCCGACGCTGAAGACGACGACGACGACGACGACGACGACGACGACGAGGCCCGCTCACAATCCGTCCCGAAGCACGGATGAGTGAAAGAGCTCATCCTGCAAGCCTGGGGCGGCTGGGGGGCTGGGGGTAGGAGAGGAGAGAGGTAGGAAAGGGAGGAGCACGGAGACAGGAGGAATGCGACGCCCGCGACCTGGAGGGAAGGCCGGGCGCCTTCGGTCTGCCTGCAGAGCTGCGTGAGCGCGCCCTGCACGGTGACGACGCCTGGCCCCGCCATGTGGCCTCGTGGCTGCTCGGGGGCACTCCCCCTTCCCCCCCTCCTCCTTCTCCTCCCTCCTCCTCGTCCTCATCCTCCTCCTTCCTCCTCCTCCTCCTCATCCTCCTCCTTTTCCCCCTCCACTTCTTTCTCCTCCTCCTCCTCATCCTCCTCCTCCTCCTCCTCCTCCTCTTCCTCATCAGGTTGGTCTTCACTCTCCTCCTCCTCTCCTCCTCCTCCTCCTCCCCATCCTCTTCCTTCTCCTCCTCCTCCTCCTCCTCCTACACCTCCCCTTCCGCACTCTCGTGCTCCGCCTCATACATAAGCATTGTTATACTCCTCTTCCTCCTGCTCCTCCTCCTTCTCCTCCTCGTCCCCCTCCTCCTCCTCTTTCTCTCTCGCTCTCTCGTCCTTCATCTCTCGCTCTCTCGTTCCATTGTTTTGTTTCTCTCTCTCTCTCACTCGCTGTCTCTCTCTCTCTCTCTCTTTCTCTTTATCTATCTCTCCCTGTCTTTCTCGCTCCCTCTCCCTCCCTGTCTGTTTCTCACCTTTGTCACCATACGTGTCATCCGTCTCATCAGCTTCAGTATCATACTTATCTTCCATGTTCTCCTTTATGAATTCCGCACAGTTGTCCTCCAACCTCATCGTCGTCATCATCATCACCATCATCGCTGCATCGTCCTCATCATCATCAGCATCATCATCAGCATCATCATGATCGTCATCGTCATCGTCATCGTCATCATCATCATCATCATCATCATCATCATCATCATCATCATCATCATCATCATCATCATCTTCATCAACAGCATGATCATGAGCAGCACCATCATCATCATCAGCATCATCAACATCATCATCAGCATCAGCATCAGCACCGTCATCATCATCATCATCATCATCATCATCATCATCAACATCAACATCGTCATCAGCATCGTCATCGTCAGCACCATCATCATGGTCGCTATCATCACCAACATCATCATAAGCATCATCGTCACAATAATCCTCATCATCATCAGCATCATCATCAGCATCATCATCATCATCTGCAGCATCACCATCATCATCCCTCCCTTCAATCGCATTCGCATCATCATCATCATCACCAGCAGCGTCATCGTCATCATCGTCGTCATAATCACCATCATCAGCATCATCATTCGTAGTTTCAATATGGTTGTTAATATGGTTATCACTAGTGTTGCTCGTATCAGTATGATGATTCGTACTAGTAGGTCGGAGTGCTAGTAGTATGATGAATGTGATTATTATTCTTGATATCAGCATGTGTCGCATTATCAATCGTCGTACTGAAAGATTCGCTGGCCCAACGGGCCAGGGGCGTGCTAAGATCTCCGGTAACTGCTTTACAGTATTTCTAGTTCGCGCGCGGGGGGTGGCCCCTGGGGGTTCCCGGAGGAAAAGTACCCCGGCAGGGTCGGACCAGGGATGGTCTTCCGTCTGGGCGCCACCCTCGAGACCCTCCAGAGAGCCCCAAGAAGGGTCAAGAGGCCCCCTAAGAGGCCCCCAAGATGATACAAGAGGGCTCGAAGATGCCACAAGATCGCTCCAAGACGCCCAAGATGGCCCCCAGACGCCCCAAGAGGCCTCCAAGAGCATTCTCAAGAGGGCCCCAAGATGCAAAATTAACTGTTTTTGCCTTAGGTGTTGGAAAGATGTTGGTGTTTCCAGCTTTTCGGATTCCCGACGCCCCAAGACGGCCCAAGAGGCCCCCAAGATCGCCCCAAGAGGGCCCAAGAGGCCCCCAAGAGGGCCCAAAGACGGCCCAAGAGGGGCCCAAGACGGCCCAAGAGGCCTCCAAGACGGCCCAAGAGGGCCCTAGAGCGCCCCAAAAGCGGCCCCAGAGGGGGAGC